GAGACTAGATGCTGTTTTGAAATGCTTCTGTGTGATAGCTTAAAAGGGACTCTTCAAGAGAAAATAAGAATTCTAGAGGAAGCTGTGAATGCTTAACATAAGTAAAATACTGTTCTGGGGTGTGTGTAAGTTCCTTTCTATCTGTATTCCACCCAATTCAGTTGGACACAGAAGCAGACTTATTAGATCCACTTATAACTTCACATTTGTGAGGAGTGATTCTATAATGCAACTTCCAGGGAAAATCTACAAGATTAAGCTGCTATCTGGGAGACATTTTATTTTACTCTCTGCTTGGAATTACCTTGGGTTGATTTTTTAGGTATTGTTTTTCACCACTCTGAGAGTAAAGGGACTATATTTCACTCTCACTTAGCCACTCTTGAGTTATCAAGTCTCTCACACCATCCAAAATAAAAATCATAACCCTTTTCAGTCCACTTTATGTGTTTTATGAATGCTGCCTGAGAAGCAACATCTCATTTACAAGTGGGACCAGGAGCTTTAGTAATATCTCTCTCAGCCAAGTGTATCTAGTAACACGTGAATAAGATAAATTGTAAACCCAAGAAAAATCGATGAGCTACTTATTCTTAAGAATGTTGAGGGTGTGACTGCAGTTCTGTGGAGCTCTGTGAATCCTGCCCTGAGACTGGCAGTACTGGCACAAAGACCATTTCCCTTCAGAACTGGGTAGGCACAGAGGTTTCTGTGCTGGTGTCATCAGGCGATGCCCTGAGCTCAGCAGCCTTGTCTCCAGCTTAGCTAAGCACCTTCATCTAGGCATTAGTACTGCATGTTCTTAATGGCCTTAAGATGAGGGGTGATGGATTTGGATTGGATATCAGGAAAAAGTTCTTTACTGTGAGGGTGCTGAGATGCTGGAAGGATTGCTGTTCAGAGTAGTTGTTGGTGACCCCACTTCCTGGAAGTATTCTGTGAAATTATTTGACCTCGGTGGGGATGGCTCATAAGTTCACATCATTAAGGGTTTTTTTCCTGGAGTTGGTCCAGCATTCTTTGGGATTGTATCCCCAGGGATGAACCCTCTATGTCCAGCGGGAGTTCAGCAGGGTGGCTGAGGGAGTTCTTCCTGACCATGCTTGGCTTCTCAGTGTGTGACTGCTGTGTGCTTAAATGAAGAGCCACTGTATTTTTTTCATTTCTTACTCTGCCCAAATGAAGTTTCTTCCTTCAGGGTCAGTATAGAGTGCTGAGAAATGTCTTGATTTCTGGCCTTATGGAGGATTATAGAATTTAAAAATAGCGTGTCTTGTCTCTCTCACCACTGGCTGCAGAAATCTCCTACAGCAAGTCAGATGCTGTGAGTGTAAAAATTTATTCATCATGGACATTTTTACTTTTTATTTTTTTCTTTTGTAATACTAGGGAAATAGAAAGGACAATAAAAGCTACAATTAAAATTAGGATCAGTTGCTGAAGCTGAAAGAGACAGCACAATTGTAATATGTTAGAAAATTGCCTTGTTTTAGAGAAAGTGCTGATTAAGATCAAATTTGTCTTGAGTTTAAATTTTGATTGGACCTAAACTGAGGGGAGGGGGGGTTATATTTCAGACACAGTGCAAATGATGCATGTTAATATCCTCTGTTTATTGCCACTTGAAATTGCAGCATAGCTTTGAATTGCTGCCAAATCTACAGTTAAGACTCCCAAGTAATCACTATGATTATTCCAAATCTTCATGGTAACAGTGAAAGAAAAAGTCTGTTACGCAAAGAACTGTAGCCTAAGCCATCAGAATCTTTTCATCCTTTGGGGCTCAGATTCTGATTCCACTCATAGCAGGAATGGTTAGACATGCATATTGGCCAATCAGTCTTGAAAGAGAGATTAAACAAATGGATTTAATTATGTTATTTTCAGATTTATTTGGTTTTTCTGTTAACCCCTGCCTCACCAACTTTCCTGAAATGAGGAAAAGATTTTCTGAGGAATGGCTTTTTAGTTTTGGAATGGTTTAATTGCTATATTGGCATTATGTAGGTTTTTTTTTCTTTTTTATTAGATTTTTTTCCCTTTTCCCTTTGTTCATCTCTAGTAGATATTATTTTTACTCTTTCTCTTTACAATCCATAGCACTGTTTGTCTCCTTGAAATATTTTGGTTTTACTTCTGTGTAGCTACTGGAAGTTGTAGGCTTACATCTGACCTGAATGTATATGTGTGTTATTATGGTTTATTAAGCTTGATGGAGATTAAGTACTGAGGTCTGAGATAAACAGCATAATACAAGTCACAATTTACTAAAAAAAGGTAGAAGAATTTCACAGGAGTGAGAAATTATATGTAACATTTTTAAAAGGAGCTCATGTTTATCTGTGCTTAAAATCTGTTCTGTTTTTTAAACACAGTTATTCAAAGAAGTAGTTTATTTTGAGTTAAAACCCTCAGCCACCACTGCTAGTTGGCTTTCCAGGCAGTATGTCCCAGTTGCATCCCTTCATCAGTTGCTTGCACTTGCTTTGCTACTTGTTCCTCTTACAAAGTAAATAAAACTTGTTATGGAAAGCATCTAATGTGGATACAATATTTACTCTGGAGCATTTTCCTAAATAACCAGTGTTAGCCAGCAGGCAAGTCTGAGCACCCGCTGTGTTGGCTGTGGGCAGGAAATCTGTATGTCTGGCACATAATGATCAGTTTAAACTGTTGAAATATAAATCACAACACTGAGTGAAATTCAGAAATATTTATTTAAATGAATTATGATGTGTGTGTGAATAAAAGAATTGTTAGAGACCCTGCCATATATGCTTATAAGTCTACAATCTTTAGGCTATTTAAAAAGATAGATTTAACTCCAAAAGATACATAGTATTTTTGAAGGACAGCATTAGCAAATATCACAGTGTGTTTGCATTACATTATAACAAGTATTTTAAGTATTTTTTTTACATTTCAGTGCTGTTGAATCCATTAGATATGCCTACATTTAAGTCTCATTAACAGTGAAAACTACTCCCTATTTTATAAATAACATTCCTTTATTATTTTGAAGCCAAAATTTTGATATTTTTTGGAAGTGTAAGATTTATAGGGCCAAAAAAAAAAAAAAAAGCAAGACAATATTGCTGTGGTTCAGAGATTACTGTTCTGTACAAGTAGAGTTTGTGCCTTTTCTGGGGACCAGGTCCTTCTCTCTGTTCTGGTCACGAAGAAACAGGAATCAGCACTATATACCTCTCTCAGCAGGAAAATAGTTTGAATTTATTTATTTCCAAGAGAAAATAGATATTTTAAGCCTAAGTCACAGATGGGAGTCTGGCAAGAAAGTACAAATCTCTGTACTGGGCATTAACACTTCTTCACTCCCCCTTGAGATGCAGGCACAGGGACAGGGCAGCAATGGCAGGCACATTCAGTTTTGGGTTCATGCCATGCCCACTGCAGAAGCCCGAATAAATGAATGTGTTACAAGAATCTTTGAGTGCTCTATCTAGGCCACCAGCAGCTACTGGTGGAGTGTAGATAGTAATGAATTAAACTGACACTGTTTGAAGCACTTCCCAAGAGACAGAAAGCCATTGGATAGAGTAGAAATAAGAAAAGGCATTTGTGGAGGTGTCATTTACAGGGGCTTTGCAATAAAAATGTCAGTTTCCTACTCTTGGGTAAATTATATCATTAAAAAATACAAGATTATAACAACGTAATGGGTTATTATTTTGCTCTTCTTACTGACCTAGTCATGCAGCTAATGGAGTAGATTTGCCTTAATATATGCTTTAGTGTGGGATTTCAGCTCTGGACCATGAACCCTGAACTATCTGCAGTTGTCTCTCTTGTTCAACAGTGTATTTTAATAAGTGCCCCATTTGAGGTGCATGAAAGCCCTTGAAATCAGTGCCACTGTGTATGTGCTTCAAGGACAAGTGTACATGCTTAAGTTACTTGTCAAATTGGAGCATCTATAAATGTTGAATTTATAGTTTTCCCCCCCAAGACCAATTGCAGTAAAAGCTCAGCCCAGCTGTCATATCTGTATAATTCATTAGAAGTTTCAAAATTTTAACTTCAGCTCTGCTCTAAAAAAGAGACTACATAAAAATTATACTATTTTTGTTAATCTCTTTCCTTCTCTGTATTCACATTATTGTAATTCTGTTTGCATAACTCGTTGCCATTTATCTCTGTAAGCAATTTACAGTCACTTTATCACAATGATCAGTATTCTGTAGTGTTTTCTGCACCATTTGCTGAAAATTCTAAATACATTTTGAATTAAGGATTTTTTTTTTAATTGTTTTTGAAGTGTGAGCAAGAGAGCCCAGCTGGACTTTGAAAATCCAGTTTGTTTGCAAGCTATCAGTTGATAAAGGCATATTTTTGAATGCCAACTGGACCCTTTTGATCTGGAAAAACAATCAAAATGGATCCTCACACTGGCAGTTTTAGAACCATGATGTTACAGCAAAAGGTGAAGAAGTTGAAATGAGTGAAATTCTGACTAAATTATGTGGGGGGAATTTCTTTAAAACTTCTTTAAAGTGTTTAAAGCTTGACATAAAAGTCACACAAGGACACAACTCAGGATATTATCTTGAGTCAAGGCATTGTTTGGACCTGAGAAGGAAATGCAAATAATTTATTGGCATAGTCTTCTACATCAAAGTGAATTGCTTTTTTATTCAGAATATTTCAGGAAGAGGAGAATGGTGAAACAATGGAGAGATTTTAGAAAGAAGTTCTTTCTCCTCAGTCAACCAAGGCAGTCATTCTGAGCAGAGATGACAAACATAACCAGTTTGATATGGGTTGCAAGAGAAGCTATAGAATGTAACAGATTTGGTCAGGGAACATTAATAAAATTTTGCAGTCCTTATCTCTTAGGTGACTTGAGTTTCTTGTCTAAAGAATTTTGATACATAAGGTAAGGTGTGTACAAAATCTGACATTTACACAAAAAAAATATGGTTGTGTTGTCTGTTATAGAGAAATCAGGCTTTTAAAGGAATGTTGTTGTTTTTGTCTTACAGATAATTCTCGTAAGTTCTTCCCATAATGACCGTGACCAGAGCCTTTTCATAAGCACAGATGAAGGAGCCACTTTCCAGAAACAACCTATCACTTTCTTTGTGGAAACTCTCCTTTTTCACCCAAAAGAGGAAGATAAAGTACTTGCTTATACCAAGGAAGGCAAGGTAAGGCTTGAAGATACTGCATTTCTTTGAAATTTAGGAATTACTCTGTTAAGATTATATAAAGCAATACTGACATGCTGATTAGTGTTGGGTTTTATGAAATATCAATTGCCCAGAAGGGATTCATGTAGTGGTTTTGAGATTTATTTAAATATTTATTTTATTCATGTCCAAATCTTTGTGGTTATGGTTAGTTTCAAACCTGTCATTTTCAGTTGATATGGGTATTGGGAATATTTCTCCTTCTGCATTATACAGTTAAATAATAATGAAACATGTTTCTCCCTAGAAAGTGACCAAATAAACAATTTATACTAGAGTAGAAAGTTAATGAAGTTGAAATATTGCCTCCAAAAGATGTTCACAGGATATAAAATAAACTCATACAAAGCAAACTGCAAGCTCATATAGCAGAATAGGATTTGTGGAATCAGTGACTCTGTAGGAATGTAGAATAATTATCTCGTAATTATATTATGATGGCTTTATACCGCTTTCAGATTCAGGAGCTGGTCATGTTTGTAAATTCTTACCCTCTTTCAGATTCCTTCTGGTTAAACTGTGAAGTTGGTGTTCTGGGTGGGTTGGGCTAAGCACTGATGGGTGTGCACACCATCTGTAAGTGTGTAGCTCATCTCTTTTTCACAGTGCCAAAACTGCAGTTGCAAACTCGCTGTCGTTCTGGTCCTGATATCAGCCTTGACTCACCTTTACCCTTACTCCTGTTTTGAACTTATATTGGTAAACTCCAGTCCATTTTACCCTCATCATACCTCATAGAAATTGTATATTTAGGTGGTGAGATAAATCAGAGAAGTTGCACATTCTGCAGCAAAATATTGCACTGATTCCAGTGATATCAAGTCACCCTTTTGGACATGTTTTTGAATATATAAGTTAACAATATATAATATTTTATTATTATATTAATGTATAAGCTGATCCCAAACCAATTCAGGCATCTACAGGTGTTTGCAAATAAGGATAGAACTAGAATAAAAAACATAGCAAACCAAAGTCACAAATTACACTAAATATGTTACTTAGCTTTGATTTGAAATGCTAACACATTTAAAAATAATTTGAATGCATGTTATGTAAATAAAATACTTCATGGAAGTAATGAAAAGCCTTTGTTATGAAAATATCTTTTTTGGTTTGACTTTTTTTCCTGAGAATAGATGTAATTACTGAATTTTTTGTAGTTACAGAGTGGCAGAACTGTGAAGTGTAAGAGTCCAAAGTGCATTGAACAAGTAGTCCAGCCCACAACAAGTGGGTAGAAGTATTTGTCAGAAGAGAGCAGGAGGTAGAAGCACAAAGTGAAGCAGTTGGTTTGTGTTTTGATTAATTAATTATGTTAGGAATCTCACAAAAGGAGTAATGCTACTGTTTAGCATGCTTAAAATGTGACTGGACAAAAAAACCCCCCAAAAACCCAACAACAACAAAAAAACAAAACAAAAAACAAACAAAAAAACAAACAAAAAAACAAACAAAAAACCCCCAAAAAACAAAAACCTATAAAAAAATTCAATAAGTAGTTCTGCAGGAGTAGCTGGAAGGGTTAGGTAATCTGATGGACTTTTCTCAGCCTTTCAATGACATTAAAAAGAGTCAGCCAAAGAGTCAACTTCCTTGACAAGTCCTACATCTTTACCTTAGATGTGTAGGAATGAAGGATGCCTTTGACTATAACTGGGTCAGTAACCTGCTTATGTTTTGTATGAAATCTGATATATTTGGCCTAGAAGGAAGAGGAAGATAAAGTGATATTGGCAGAGAAGGAGTTGAAAATCAAAATTGCAACTTGACACAAATAAAGGTCACTGTACTAAAATCAATGATCTTGAGAGAGAAGGTTGATCTAAAATTGCCCTGAGGAGTCAGTATACTCTAGGCTTTTGAGTTAAGTAACTTTACCTTCCCTAAAAGAAAGTAGTATCAGAATGTAACACAATCCAAAACTCAGGAGAAAAACGTTAGCTCCTGTTACTCAAATGATTTGTTACAAAGGCACTTTGGAGACTGCGAGGAATGCAAGGAATCAGGTCCTTCATAAATAGCAGTCAGCAAGGCTTCTTTGTCTACTGGAGCATCATGGCCTTTTCACAACTTTTGATTCGATTTAGGGCTTATTTCATATTGCAAAATATGCATTGTTCTTTCATTCAGAACCCTAGATTCTGTTTAAATAAATCCCTAGCCTCTAGCTGACACTATAAATGAATGCAAATCCAGTCAATGTGGTTGGATTAATCCATTTACTGCCTCAAATCTATACGCTCTTTTTCTGGCTACCCCTCAGTTATAATGAATAACAATCATCTATTTGCTGAGCCTACATAAATGCTTTTAGATTATTTTTTTTAAATTGTCAAGGATGCAATAGATTTAATCATTCATTTGGAAGCAGAAAGAGTGAAATAATGCAAAACAGAAAAATATTTTCAATATTTTTTTAAAAGCTTTTCCATTCACTTATTGCACATTTATAAGTGAGAATAAGCAGAATTATAAGACCTATTAGATCTGTTTGCTTCAGCCAGAGATTTTAGCTGTCTGCTAAAATAACGGTTTTAATATCCTATCTAATCTCATTTAATAGTTTTATCATATGTACCTGTGGAAAAACAGAATACATATAGGTAACTTGTTTTTTTTTATTACAGAAAGTTCAATGTGTATGCAAGTCAGTTACATGCTATTTTTTATCTATTTCAAATACTGCATCAGTTAAAATTTCATTTCAGTTTGAATATGCCTTATTAGTCCTACTTCACCCTTCGTGCAGTAAGATTGCAGGAGCTTCTTCCCCCTGCAGAAAGCCAAACCGTTCACTCCTAAGCTCCCAGACTTCAGTCTTAAATGTGTGTGTGAGCAGGCAGTTTGGGTTTGGGGGAGAGGGGCTGGGTTTGGTTTGGCCTTTGGCTTCTCTCGTACCGGTGTCATTGTTCAAAGGGTGAGAATCTTTCCATTTCTTCTGAAATTCATTGATGACAAAGATATATCCCTTTGTTCATGTGCCAGTGTTATCCCTTATCCTAAATATTTCTCTTCCCTCTTGCCGGGAGCTTCTGAATTCTTGGCTTTCTTTGCAGCTTAGATAACAGGGTTAAGATAGTGCATTAAATGATCATCTGTCCCAGATTTAAACAGTCTGCTGAGGGAGGTTACCCAGTGAGCAGGGACTTTTTAGAAAAATGGTAAATGCAGTGGTTATCTTTTCTGCAATGCCTGTGGTGACAAGGGTTTGAGGAAGTAAGCAGCTTAGGTTCTTCACCCTGCACAGTCCAGTCTATTCACAGCCACATCTGTCCTCCTGAGGAGGTTGCTCAGAGCAGGATGTTATAAAATACCCTGGTTGCAGCAAATCCTAAGCCAGGTATTTAGCAGGCAAATCAGGATCCTGGCTCTGCAGCCCAATCATTTAGCCCATTCATGAGGATGAAGAATTTTCAATCCCAAATCATTTCTGTGTGTGCATCGACTGGGTCAATACTACAGTAAGCAGTCTGAGTCCTCATTGGAGTTTCCTTTCCTGTGGTATATCTACTTAAATCAAGTGTGCAGTGGAAGAAAACCCAGTCATTGTGAAGTACAGAGTAACTGGGAAATTCTCTTCTATCTCTAATTCAAACTTCAGCAAATTTACCCACAGAGTTTGTGCTACGTTACCACAACCTTTATATTTACATATTAATATTGCTGTTTTTCTATAGTGGAACATAATAGATATCTGTGGGGGGCTTTTATGGTTTGTCATTGAACCTGTCATTTTAAAACATAAATATTCCTTACTACTCCTTCTAAGACACTTTCCCCCTGAACACTCAGTTACTGAATTTGTGTCTTCTACATCAGAGAAGAACAGTTTTACTTGCTTTTTTATCCCCCTTATTAGAGACATCAAGAGAAAACCCATCTTATGTAAATTGGATCAAATAAGAAATGCATGCAGACAGCGGGGGGCTTTAAATCGGTCTTTTTAGAAGTCTGATAGAGACTTCCTATTTTAACTAGAGGAAACACATTTTGAAGGCAAATGCTAAAGGAAGGAGATTTATTAAGAGCTATTTTAGATCCCACATTATTCTGGGGGAAAACATCTTTCATCTGCACTCTTGATATCCATCGATATCATTAGCATTTGTTTTTTTACCAGAGGGGAACTGTTCATAGAGAAGGTGGAGCTGGAATCCTTTTCCTCCAGGCCATCTTCTGCCTCTGTGCTGAAGGACCACTTCTCGTGGGTTACAAATTAGTGTCTTTGGAGCAAGCCCCTAAGTGCATCTCTCATCAAATCTCTTAAGCATTTCTGTAATATATTTCGGTCCTATTTTAGCAGAGTTTTAAATCCATTGACTTCCTGGCTTAAATATTTTTGATGGCATTAAGGCTTGAAGCATAAAGGAAACATTGCTTCCCAATCAAGGAGAAATGCCTTTTTACCATCCCTCTTGTGTAACCATGCTGAGGTAAAAAAGAATCTGACCCCAAATGAATTGTGTTTGCACAAGAAAAAGTTATTGCTACAGAATTTTCTTTATTATAGATGATATTCTAAAATAATTTCTCTATGAAAGGCTGTTACTCTGAAAAACAAGGTACTGAGCTCCTGGTAATGTGTTTCTGGGTTTGCTTGTTTGTTTTCTCTATTTTAATTTATGTACAATCTGTCTTTCTAATGGTGATATAGGGTCTGTCTTTGAAGCCTTACAGTGTTATCTGTTTCCTATCATCTAATTTTTCACTTTTTTTTTCTCCTTTTCTAGATTTATGTATCTATTGACTTGGGAAAAAAATGGAACCTTCTGCAGGAACGAGTTTCTAAAGATCATTTTTTTTGGTAAGAAGTCTTTTATTTTTGAAATAATAAAATGAGCAGTGCAAGTATTTCATTCTAATTCAAGAAGATGTTTCCAGAGGTACAGATGGGGACTATGTGAGCCTTGGCATCCTTTGCAGATGGTGGCAATGTTTCTGTACCCTCTATTGCAAAGTCATGGTCGTGCCAGGGATCATACTGAGTATCAGCACATGGAAGGGTTATAGGTCTGGATCTATGGAGCCCAAGATTTAAAGCAAGCAATGTTCAATGAAATTGCTCTCCATTTTATTGGTGAAATTGATCTTTAGAAAGGAGAGGGGTCTTTTTGTAGAGAAAAATCTACAAAGTTTTTTTAAGAGAGGCTGGATCATACCTACTAACATGAGTAATATTTACACTTGCACTGGTAACGAAAGTGGTGAAAAATAGGACTTTATTGATGACATATATATCTAATTATTTCATTTTCAGCTCAATTATTATGCAGAAATCTCACATTTTGCATGAATCTCATGAAGTATTTAAGGAGTGATTTAAACAGGTTGACAAAATATTTGAGAACTTACTGTCCTTATTTAAAAAAATGTAATTATTTTGAAAATGTTATTGCTTCTTTAAAACCAAGGTAAAACTTTTGATAGTGTTTTAATCAATCTTATTTTTTAAATGGGTCAATTTCACACTCACTTCCACCTTTCACAATGTGTAAGTATGCATGTTTTTATTACAGGTTTAAGTCATACTACACTAGACGCTTGTGTTCCCTAAATGGCTTTTAACTTCTAAATGGACTCTGATCCTTGTCAGTTGTGCAAAGTATAATTTTCCATATCTCTATGGAAACATATCTGGCTTTCAGTGGTATTTTGTGGTTTGCTGGGGTTGGTGCCAGTATTGCAATAGATGCCTGATCTTGGTTTCATCTCCCAGTTTTTCATGTAGTTGTTTTACTCTTGTGTCAAAATAAATAATCATCCTGGCCATACTCAGGGTAAAAACAACAAAACAAAACCTGCCTAAACTTGTGGCTACGAAGCACACAGAGGTGTTATGGCATCTCTGGCTGCATTGCCCCAAAGCATAATTTGGTGAGCCCAAGGGTGTGCTGGCACGTGTGCTGCTGCTGCCAGGCAGGGGCAGGGCTGTGATCAGGGCAGAGACACACAGACAGTCCAGATCCTGTCTGAAAGAGCTGGGGGCAAAAGACCTAAGCTACCCTGCTGCCTTTTTGGTCTCATTAGCCCTGGGCACAACACACAAGCCTTGTCACACTTCCAAGTGCCTCATTTCCAGTCTGCACCTACATACTGCCCATGATTTTAGAAAAGTAGCCTATGGTTGGGTTGTAGAACATTCATCTGATTTATTCCAGCTTGCTTCAACCTTATCTGCCAAAACAGTTGAGTAGACAATTTCTTCTTCCTTGCTCCTGCAAAGTATAGCTTTGAACAGCTATTGAGCTATTTCTGCATAGCAGAAAAGTTTCATAGGCCATACACTTTGCAGGTCTTTTAGTACCCTGTGGAAAGGTATAATTGTTTTCAAGTGGCACTGTGTGTCAGAAATGTCATGTCTGCCTCGTAACCAATTCTTCCCTAGCAAGATTATTATATAGGATGTAAATCATGAGGGCATGTGGTTATCTGTCTTTAATAAAAATATTTTAAAATGCATGAAGGTTGAAAACCATCCAAGTCACTAACAGGTAAGAAATAAGAGTGGAAGCCTCTCTCTGACAGACTTTGTTACTGGATTTTTTTCACATCTGACACTTAGCACACTTAAATTATGAAAAATACAGAAAACAACTGAAATGTATGTCAGTTTTGCTCCAACCCAAATAATCTGTCACTGTTTTCTGTATGTAAGGATTAGAGCCAACAAGAGCATGTTTAATATTAAGTCTGTATTTTGCTGTGTTTCAGAAGCCTTATGTTTCCTTATATCATTTGATAGGAATAACTCCAATGTAGTGCTTCAAAGTCATGGTTGTTCATAAATGTCACATTCCTTGCAAATAAAAATTATAAATTTGAAGAGTCTGTACATCTATAACCAGTAGAAATATTTTCTATGGGGTTGTTTTCCTCTTTTCTATATATAGACCAGAGTGATTTCTCTCAAAAAGTGTATCAGCCAGCAACAGCAAGGATTTGGAAGCAGGTGTTTAGTACATCACTGCCAAATTATCCTTCTCATAAAACGACATAGAATAAAGATATTTATATTATTTCTATCTCATATGGAAATTTGCAATATATAAAGAGTGAGATGTGAGTGGAGAGATGGACATGATGGCTTTCCAGTGGGAGTTTGTCATGTGAGACTTTCCAGTATTTTATGGCCTTTGTCACCCAAATTATCTGAGTGCTAGATAGAAACAAGTGTTTTCAACAGATGTAAGAATTGGGCTTTGTAAGAGTTTGACTGTAAGGTCACCAGGTCTGGTGTTGTTTTCCTGTCAGCAGACATCTGATGTGTTAAAAATATTGTGTCAAACTAATTGTACCTCTCATGATAAATGAGGGCATGGCTCTTGCTGATTGTGGCTGGTTGTGCCAAGAACATTTCACTGGGCATATCTTTAGCAGATGTTTCTCTTTGATTTCAATTTGAGCTTTGCCACTGAGGTTAATAATATAGCCTAAGATTTTTATTTTAGTCTGATAAGTATAAACATTACCAGTCATGATATTTTCCAGTGCTTTGTAAAAAAGCATTTTTTCTGTGCTTTCAGAAGCAGCCAGATCTTCACACATTTCCTGAAGAAGCATTTTTTTTTTGTTTTGCACAATGAAAATCTAAATGCAATTAATTTAATGGAATGAGTTATGTATTTATATTAAGGGAAGGTCAGTAGAGACTGAGTATTTTAAATATTTATATTCAGATAGATATTATAGATTTATAAGCAATATAAATATAATGATATTAATATCATCTTCTAGGGTTTATTTGCTTTCCAAGTGTTCTTGATCCTTCCTTAAATATCTTTTTAGATTTAATGTGTGGAATTTGATCTTTCATGATAGTGGAACTAATGAAAATATTGGCATCAGTGAAAAATGTGTACAATCATCTGTAATTTAGAAGCACAGAATATTTTATTTCTTCTGTGATGCAGTGTGATCTTTTCTTACACCATCCTAGCTAATTTTGCTATTTGTTTCATTTATTCTTTTGAAAGAGAAAGCTGACTAAGCCTTCATAAGGGTTTGTCTTCTCCTAGCATTCAGGAGGCAAAGGAGGCTTCCCAGAGTGCTGGTTGATGCCCCAAGCCTGCCAGTTCTTAAAAGGCATTTGGGCAATGTCATCAAGCACTTGCTTTAAATTTGGTCAGGTTGTGGGACTGGAGGGTTGTTGGTGCCTTCTAAATGAAATAGTTTATTCTATCCTATTCTGAAACCCAAAGAGCTATAAAGAAAAGCATGAAAGGCAGATTTGAAACTAACAATAAAATAAAATACTAAGTCACACTGTAATTAAAAAAAAAAAAAGTATCATCATGTAGAAAATAAATATTATATTTCTGTATAAATAATAATTGGCCTTTTTCTAATTTTGAGCAACTTCTTATTCTGTAAAATTAAGAAACTTCACTTGCTGTTTTACTTCTGCCTACAAACTGCATTTTCCCAGTGTGATGATTTCTGTTTAAGAGATGTTACAGCACCCATTCTTTATAAGTGCTTTTTCCAGTTCTTGGTGCATTTGCAGCATGGAATGCAAAGATATGAGCTATCCCAGCCAAACATCAAACACCCACCCATTGCCTGGTATATAACTGCTTTTGTGCATGAAGCCCATTTTAAAAAGTGTTGTATTATGTGGTAATCCTTGAGAAGAAGAAAGAGGAGTTTGGGATTCCTCTGTGTCTGCTGTTATTCTTCTCAGTCCCCAAGGTTTGTGCAGCATTGAGAAATCTTTTTGATTTCTCAAAATAGGTCTTAGTAATACATTAGCAAAGAATAGATTGTGAATCAGCTGTCTACACCAGCACAAATATACCCAGGGACAGTAAGAGATGAATTGGTAATTACCAGAGAATTAGGCCCAACACATTTCTTTTGTGGCTATCTAGAGCCTTAGGAATTCTTTATCCTTGAATCACTCTGGTATTTGGATCCTATGCTACGGGTATCTGTTACTCTTATTTTTAGCTACAGGTTTTCCATTTTCTTGAGAGGTAAGAACATAAAAATAAAAAATGATGTGTTTATTTTGATGAAGCAGTTGTTCTCAGGGGACAAAGTTCTGTTCTCATCATGAAATTCCATAGAGATATTCAGTCACAACTGTACCCATTTATGTCAGATGTAGTGGGTGCCTGGCTATTCAAGTGTCAGGTGGAAGAGAGGATTTCAGCCATGTCCTGAAGTAGAGAAATGCAAAGAGGATTCCCTTGAGACTTTGTCATTGAATTTTTTATTTGTGTGTAAAGCCAAGAGTCTATGGGCAGTCATTCTTACGTTTGACTTAATCACTTGAAGCAGGTTTAGTTTCTGTGTGGTGATGTGTGTGACTGCTTTATGTGGCAAGGTTTGGTAGCAGGAGCATTCAGGGCTTCTCAGGGATGAGACCAGGAACTGTCCTTGTGTCAGACAGAGCCAGTTCCAGCCAGCTCCAAGGAAAACCCTCTCCTGGCCAACCTGAGCCTGTGAGTGATGCTGCTGGTGCAGATAATGAGAGAGGCAGACGGAGGAACACGGCAAGTTTTCAGATGGTCTTTGAATGGAGGCTCCTGCACATCAGCAAGCATGTTTGTCTTGATTTGCTTTTGTTTTCAGATGTCCTGCTTGAAGTTGTCTTTTCATTAATATTCACCTAAATGAACTGCATCAAATGTTTAACAGTGAAGGGTCCACTGGAGGTAGGGAAGACATGTCCAGAGCACTTGATTAGTGTTGGCAGACAATTGCTGCCCTACAAAATGAGCCTGGACTACTGGAAACAGAGAGTTTCCTGCTTGAAGTAAAATTGAATCATAATTATCATAGAAGGGACTGATTCTTATGGTTCACATTTTGAGATATGTACTGTTACATGTCAGTGATAATTAATTGAATCATAGTATTAATGATAATAATAATGGATATTGCATAACTGTGAAATTTTAAGTATTAGTTCTTTCCTTATGCTGCACTGAACTAAAGGAAGAAAAAGAGAGGTAACTGTAGAAAAGAAAATTTTTTATTAAAATAATACCAAAGGTCTCCCATAAAACTTAAACCAGGAAATTCTAAATTCTTAGCATTTCAGTATGGTTATTTAGAACTACAAAATAGCTAATGGTTGTATCATGAAATACACATTTATACACCTACTAAGACAAACCCAAAGGGCTTTTCAATTGCCTCCACTGCACCATTTTCATGCTGATATAATGCAGTTAAGGTCAGTGAAATTACCTGGTGAAGCACTAATGCAAAAATTATGAAGAATTAGGTCATAGTACAGCAAATCTTTTGGGAGAACTTCTGTAAAGTGTAAAAACTCATATGCATAAGAAAACTAATCCCTGAAAAAAAATCTAAAATTGCATTCTGCAGAGCTATTTTTCCCAAGAGGCTCAACATGGTGTCAGACAAGCACAAGGGAGATAATGGGAGCTTGTGTTCACAGGAAAGGGAAGAAGCATATTGAGGCTGCTTCTATTTACACCACCCTGCAGTCAAGCTGGGCTATTTTAATTCTGAAGTGTTGTAACCACCCTGTTATGTGATCTGAAGTATTGAAGTGTTGCACTTGCTTTATCCCCCGTAGTACATTTGGTCAAGAAATATTTCTTCTCCTAGAGGAAGACAAGTCTGATCTGAAAGTTAGTCTGAATTTCATTGGAAAACTCAGTAGCTGAATGTAAAACATTAAAAAGCCAACCAGAAAGCCCTGAATTTACCTAAGTAAAACCACTCATTTTATTGTGAATTTTAATCAAACCAAAAAACAATCTCTACTGAAATTGAAAAGTATAGGTAGTTCCTAAAAAGATGCTTAATTCTATTTGGAGGGAAAAAAATATTAATACTTATTCTGAAATGTCAATCAAAAAGGAAGGAGCTGTCAGATTCTCAGGGTCCATTGCATCTGGGCTTTATAAAACAGACGAGGTCCTATCCTGAAGCCAGCTGGGGAACAGCAAACTGTCCTTGTGAATGGATGTGTGGACACAATTCTCACCCTGGTACAATGCACTTATGTTGTGGTGGTAGTAAGTTTGTAAATGAAAATGCAAAAAAAACCCAACTTTGTCTTACATTTCTCCCTCAATATGAAAAATATGCAACTGAGCTTTCCTTTTCAGTGGACCACACAGGGTTTGTGTTCCTCTATGCACTTTGTTTGCCTGTTTTTCTCAGAAGCTGGGCAGGGAGCCCTGGGCTGTGTTTTGCCTGCAGAGTATCACACGACTTTTCCTCTGGTTCATGATTTAAGCACAAGTGAAATAACAGTATTATCTTTTAAGTACTGTTGGCAGAAGAGTCCGCTGAAATGAGATTAGTTTATTCTTCAGGGATATAGCTTCAAATTCTCTATATTATTTATACTCTCTTCTGGAGATTTTCTTAGCAGCTGTAAGAGATTTGGTCTTTTTTTCAATAAAAGAAGGACTATTCCTAAGTGTTTGTAAAGCTAGGTAGAGGGACTTTGGAGTTCAGAAACTCTGCTTTGTAGCTGACATTCAAAAGTAGACTTTGAGGGTGTAACATCTTCATTGAGTAAACAGTGTTTGCTGCTAGAGTTCATCAGTACATTTGCAATGATGAAAAAACACAATATTTTTAAAATATTCTTCTTAATTTAGAATTAATTAAATAATTATAATTAAGAAACTCTAAAGGAGAGGAGTAGTCTGGGTGGGAAAATTTCATTCTGGAGTGTTTATTAAAACAGATCAGTTACATCTTTTTTCACTGAAAAATTAAACTAGAAACAAGATTAGAGTCCACATATGCCACTATTAGGAGGAACATGATAGAAGTGAGATCATTGTAATTCTGAGCTGTTGAAATAAAGATGAGAAGGTAGAGATATTGACAAATGCCTCAAATTGTGCTTATGAAATCATGTGTGATAAATTATAGATACAAGAAGTAATTTCAGAAGTACCCAAAAACTTTCTTTGAATTATTGATGCTTATTAGCATGTCAGGCTCAGGTTCTGAAAATTCAACCCAAAAGTTTCTTTGGCTCAGCTGTCTGAGGTCCAACACTAAGAGTAAAATATTCAGCAAATATTTTCTTCCCTCAAATTGCTGACTACAGAGTTAAAACAGGTTTTATTTTGTATTAGGGCTATCTAGAAACATAGATAACAGCACACTCAGCACCAAAAGTTCACAGATTCCTTCCTTCTGCTCATATATATATTCTCATCATACCTCAGTGGATGTAAAAATCTTCTCTAACCTAATATATTGCCTCCAAAATGCTAAAATGGTTTGTGTTTGAGAGATCAGATTCATAATAAATACAAGATTTTTCCATGCATTTGCTAAAAAAAAAAAATTCTCATATATATTTCTCCGACATCTTATGGCTTGGAGGGGCTCATCCCTCCCCATCCCTTCCCTCCTTTGGACTAATCATTTATCTTATTAGGGAAAAACAGCATATGTGATTGTTTCTGGTTGTTATGCAGCAGTGGAAATTGTCCAGTTTCTTCCCTCTGGCCTATGTTCATGGGGAGCCACTGAGCCACTGAGTCTGACTTTTAACCACTCCTCATAAATCACTGCTACTAAAAACATTAAAAAATGATGTAATGTCAGTCAAAATAAAACTTTATTGCACTTGATTGTTAATAATTGTATCAAAATGATCATTTTCTCTTAAGTATCTAAATGGACCTTTTTAATATCTGCATCCAGCTGCACTTTATCACTCAGAGTATCTCCTTTGCATGGACTCCTGCCCTGCTGGGGAAGGGCCTGGAGAAAAGTGATGTGTCTGGGGCTGAGGCCAGATTCTGCTTCACGTTGTGACTGCACAACTGCCAGCTCAAAGCTTTCTCTGCAGAACCTGCCTGAATAATGACAATAGAAGGGCCAGAAAAAAGCACAGCTGGGGCTGCCATTCCCAGGCTGGGATGGAAGCCCTGAGGGTAGAAAACTCATCTTTTGGCTGAGCAGATTTGACATGAGAGATATTGGGAGAAAATCATCCTGTATTCCCATTACACCTTTACAAAGTTAAACTGTACTTTGATCAACTCTGACTGAATTTCCTTCTCAGGATATTTTTCTCAAAATTATTCTTCACTTTCTTTGTCAAAGCAGAATGTGCTCTTTCCTTGAATATGCTAATCAAAGATATATCAATTTGCTATGGAAACCATGTGTCAGGTTTAAGATATTTCTAATAAGAAAAGAATCTAACTCTTTTTTAGCATTAAATCTGCCTTGTTGTCTCAAATGTTAATTGTAAAAAGATGCTATAGTGTTTGCCAGTGCATGTGTCTGCATATCTCTGTGTGTGTATATATCAACTTATGATTGTCAAGGTTTTTTTCTAATTTCATGCATATTTCTATCCCTTTTTTTCAATTTATTCTATTTGTATGCATTTTTTAGTAGAAGAGATTCTAAAGAAATTTAAGAAAAACATAATGTAAAGTAGAGAAAAAATAATTTCCTTATAGATATTAGTAATAGGATATTATAAATGGGGTTTATTTTATTCCCAGCTAGAATTCTAAAGCTGGTTAGTATGAAATCCTCTCTTTTCTTCCATCCACATAATTACTATTCTGTAGCTGGCTCTACATAACTTGATTATATTATGTTCTCAGGGCTGTTGCTGGAGTTGACGGGGACCTTGATTTAGTTCATATGGAAATCCAGGACCCCAGTGGAGGTATGCAAATGAAAATGTTATCAATTGATACATTAGTATGTAGTCATTTCTCTTTAGTTTAGAGGTGGTTTTTTGGATTGTTTTTAAAACCAGTCAGAAAGTGTGCAAGTCAGATTCTTTATTTGAAGTCAGCAAAACCCTTCAGTTATATAAAAATATAGTATAATTTACAATCTGCTTGTTTTTCACTTTAAGAGGAATTGATGTCAAGATGCTATGCTCTGTTGATAATATCCATTAGTTGTGAGATTTATCCTGGCATTTAAACATTGGACAGTTTCTCCTGATTTGCAAATAAAACTGGCAATGCAGTGTTAGTGCTGGGTGTCTGTTAATGTGAATCCTGGCATGTGTCAGGTCTGGTGCACCAACCAGCACTAGACTCTCAGAATTTCCTCTTGTTATTGTATCCAGTTTTGAAACTTCAAAAGGAAAAGAAATGGAAAAGAAGATTAGTAGTCAGAATGTGCTTAAAGAATCACCATGATTCCAAAGGCTTGTATAGTTTCTTGTTACCAATCATGAAACATGGTGACAGCTCCATCAGCTGTTTTTTTTAGAGACAATGTAAGATGATTATTCAGGACCTGAATGCAAAGGGGGGGGTTTGGTGGTGGTGGATTTTGGGTGGTTGTTGTTTTTTTTCATTTGGTTAGCTTTGGTTTAGGGTGGCTTTTTTGGAGGGCAGTGTGGTTGGTTGGTTGGTTGGTTCTTGGTTTGTTTTTGTTTTTGTTTTTTTTTGCTTGTTTGTTTGTTTCAGTTTTGGTGGGGTTTTTTTGTTTTGTTTTGTTTTTGTGTGGTGTGAGGTTTGTTTTGTTTTGTTTTTGTGTGGTGTGAGGGTTTTTTAAAATTATTTTCGTTATTTAACAGAAACAAAAAAAGATAAACTCTCATGAAATATTTTCAGGCTAGATTCTCAGCAAACTGACTTTATGCAGTTATGGTCAGTACAAGAATAGACATTGATTTTAGTGGAAACAGAATCTTTACACTACCCATATGACAGAGAACTGTAATTTTTATGTTGTGAACTGTGAACACCTGCAAGACTTTAGGTGGTCCATTGCTGCACCCAATGTCCTTGAGATGAGGAGTTGGACATAAGCAGGAGAACATGGATTGACTGTAACTGCCTCTGAAACAGATACAGGTTTTAAAACAAATAATTGCATCCAATATACTGGTTTGCCCTTCTCTAATAAAAAGTCATTAAATGTGGGATGCATTTTAGCTCCCACTGAAAAAGTAGTGAAGGACATGGGAGTACATTATTTGCTCTCTCACACCACCTGGAGTATGGGTAGAATTAGTGATCTGGGCACATGACTGTGTAAATAACATTTTCCTCACTGTGCTTGGGCAAGTCACTCGACTATTTTGTGCTCAGAAGCTTGTGACAAAGGCTTAGGGAAGGTCTTTAAGAGTCCCAGAGAAGATCTTTAAGTCACAGCTGGTGTAAGATAGTGATTGTTGGCTCTGCTCTCTCTGATAAGAGCAGATTGTATCAAAGATGCAGTAGTGCTGTTCTAAGAACCCAGGGAGAGAAGATAGTCCTTGCTAACTGGAGGGAAAAAGAAAGGCCATAGCCTCCTCTGATTATAAATCAGTCTAAGCTTTTTCAGCAAGGTATTAACTCTGAATATAGAAATCCTGCCCCAACAGACCAGTTCCAATAGTGTGCTAATAGTGTGTCTGAACATTCTTGCAGAGCTTTGAAAATAGGCTTTAAAATTCTGCACGCTGTCTATTAAATGGAGTCTGATTCTTTTCTCATCCATCACGATTTTATACTGGGGTTGATCTATTGATTTCAGTTATGTTGTGTCAGGCTGCTATTTCTCCAAGTGAATAATTCGGCTCTGTGCATAGGTTAAGTGAGAAAAGAGGCTCCTTCTATTATCCCCACCCATGAATGGCTCATTCATCTAACCCGTAATCTCTCTGGACCAGTAAAATTTGGATAATAACAGGCTGCCTCCAGGGAACGAGCTGAACTGTAAGCAGTTAATATATTCTCAGTATGCTGGAGATTGAAAAAGTCTTATATGAGAGTTTAATATAATAATTCTACAACTAACTCACCTGGCAAAGGCAGCCTTTTGCCTACATGAATAGCATTTAATACTGCTTGCTTCTTTTTCCCTTGATAGCCCTGTCATATGTTTCTGTCTCTCTTCCCTCAGATTATCGCTACATCACTTGCCAGATTCAAAATTGTTCTGATAAGACAATGACAGTCCCATTTGCTGGCAGCACTGATCGGGATTCCCTGACTGTGCAGGATGACTACATATTTCTTCAGGTACTGCCATTTTTGGGAGACAGCTCATTTTCAAATTCAAAAATAAAGTTCTAAACAGTGCAGCAACACTGTAAGGAGAAGGGAGAAATTAATGACTGATGATTTATGATTTTTTACACGGAAAAAAGCATTTCTTTATCAGTCCAAACAAAAAGGAAATTAAAAAAAAAAAAAGGCATCTTTGATTTGTGTCTATAGTTATAGTTGCCCTTTAACTATATGAGAATTTTCAAGTGGCTTGTGTTACTTTTTAGGCATACTCTTGTGTGTTAGGTGAAATGCAAACCTTGTGTTCCTGTGATTACAAACTCTTCTGGGTCCTTTCCAGGACAAAATCCAAAAACATTTCCTGAGAAAAGCAAGCATCCAAGCACAACCACTGACAGAGTAGCTGCACAGCTTCTTCATATGGATTCTCCTCTGAAGAGGTTTTGCCAGGAAAGAACTACTAAAATGGTGTGCTTAGGAAGAAAAAGGGTCAAATGGCCATAGCTGGGGAGCTTAGAGCAAATTAGCATGGAATCATAGAATGATTTAGTTTGGAAAAGACCCTTAAAATTGAGTCCAGCCATAAACCTAACACTGCCAAGTCCATCACTAAACCGTGTCCCCAAGCGCCACATCTACAACTCATGGTGGTCCAAATTGCATTGGGGTTATTTCATTCCCAAACTACAAGACCTGCCTGCAGAAATATGGGCTGGAACTTTGTCAGCCATATGGCACCAGTACAGCTCAGGCACACTTGTATTGTTTTATGTGTTTGGCACTGGTTGTGGTTTGAGTCTACAAGAGCTGCAAACTTCTCAAGGAGCAGTTATGTCCTCTTTGTTTTATTAGATTTTACTAGGAAAGTTGATTGTGTTTTCCTTAGTGCCCAGCTATCATTTTCCCCTTAGTTTGATGAGATTTGTTTGCTGCAAGGCTTATCTATTTATTGAATTTTGCAGGAAAGCTATTTCAGAGCAATGGATATTCCTCCCCTCCAGTGCCTCAATGTACATCAGATTGTCTCCTTTCCAACTTTCTCCCCTTGAGGACCTGTAAATTAGTAGGGTCACAAAGGATCTACACCTCTTGTTTGGCACTGTGATTTCAAGAACACATATGGCTTAGAAGAATCAACCCTAAAAAAAAAACCCAAACAAAAAACCCAACCAGGCAAAAAAAAACCCCAAAAACCCACATAGAGAAAAACAAAACAAATTTAAAAACCTCAAATAAATGCAAAACTAAAACCCAAACAATGTCATTGGGAAAGAACTTTATGACTAAAGTAGACATTTTTCAGATCAGATCTAGCACTCGTGGCACTCACCTTGCTCAAAGCTCAAAGTTATAATCTGAGGCTCCCCCCAGGCACAGTCTAAAATCCATTTCATGGTGTGTAGATGCTGAGAACTGCTTCTCACCATGCAAACTTCCAGACTGCTGTGCTCAGCAAAACACTGGCTGCTTCATCATCAAGCATTTTGGTTTGCTGGATGTCATGTACAACTGCATCTTGAGCTGTTATTCTCTTTCATGACAGACATAAAATGGAAGTGCAAGGTGGAAATGTACACATAAATACTAGACAGTTGCTACTCAGTGATGCCTTTGGTAATTTGGTCTCTGTAGATCTGAGACATGTCAGTGCCAGTAGATGAGATGTTCATGTGTTCCACATAATGGGGAAACATTTCTAGTCTTTTTCTTTTAGACTTTCCTGCAATAAACCACAGTATGCAATGTATATCTTATTGCCAAATTGGTTTGCAGTTAGCCATATCTGTATTACTGGAAGAAAGAAGGGGACTCTGGGATCCTATAGTCACATCTGAAGCACAGCCACCCCAGAGGTGTGAGGCAGGACAGCATTTACCAGTTCCAGTGAAACCTTTCCAGTGAAACCACGCAGCAGCTGCACATCTCAGAAACAGTGTGCTTGTGAAACCATGTGGAAATTATTTTATCACTACACTAAGACTTAGTTATAGAAGTTACAATCAGACCAGGGACTCCTCGTGATATCACAGCAATGCTGGTCAGAAAGAGGATGGGACAGAACCCTCTGTGCAAAAAGAGAGGAGAGTTTGAGACTGTCTCCCTGGCCCTGGCATTGTTCATATTCCCTGAGCTCAGATATGAATCAGAGTGTTGCAAGCCTACACTGCTAATCCTGGCCCAAATCTATTTTGGAGATTCTACCATCTCAGAGGAAGATCTCAGCCACATTTCTTTCTATCTGTATCCACAAAGATCAGAAACTGTCTAATACTCATTTTTTTCCCAGTTTGCACTGACAGTCAGACACTTTCAGAGGTGATTTTAGTAGGAGGATTAAAGTTTCAGTGCTGTTCTTAAGCACAGACCAGCCTGTAATACCAGTGAGGCTTGACATGACTAGGTGCTTCAACTCCAATTTTCCTCTGCCTTGCATCATCTGCAGTCATTTAAAATGAATGATGTTAAAACATGCATTTAAAAAAAAGCCTGTGAATAGATGGGTAAGACTGCCATTTATCACTAGTTAAATGATGAGATTTTTTGTTTGATACATCATCATTTAACAAATTATATTCCTAAAGGCATCACATTCTTTATACCACAAAAAATGTGTATAATATTAAATACTTTGTTACCTTTAAAATATTCAGGCAGGTGGACCTGCTGTCATACATCAACTTTTTTTTTTTTTATCAAACCAAACCAAGTTTTCATGTTTCAGGATAGGTTGTCTTTTGAATCAGGTTCCCTTTTTAAACACAAAAATTTAGGAGACAAATAGTGGGATTGGGGTAGGATTTTAAATGTATTTCCCAAGTCAAAGAAAGAAGAAGAGTATCAATGTGAAAAAAAAAGTGAAATATTACCAAAGGCTAACTTTTATTTACTGATATCATTTGGTGGTGCTCAAAGGTTTAATTGGAATTATGCCAATTTATATACCAGCACATTGGTGTTACATTTCTGATTAGAAAATCCAGGAGAGGTTGTGGATTGACCATTTTCACTGGTGTTTATTTGGAATATTCCTTTTGGCACTTTGGAACATTGCACTAAAAGTAATGACTACGTATTTCTGTTATAGGTTAAAAGCAAAGCATTCTTCCATCTCAGGTTCTTTAGATTTAACATAAGCTGTCACAGAGTTTTGTTTCTCCTTTGTATAGACATCATCAGCAAATCGGACCAAGTACTACGTGTCTTACCGTCGAAATGGCTTTGTACAGATGAAGTTGCCAAAATACGCCTTGCCCAAAGTAAGTGTGCATGTTTTTCTTTCTCTTTTTGCATTTGTCATCTTCTCTTTCTACCTAAACTAGTTTTGTTCTGCTCTTTTTCAAACCTCATTATTCTGAGTTCACAATTTCTTCTTGTAAGTATTTTTGAATCCTTATTTTTCTCTTGAATACTGCTTTTATTTTTATTCCATTAATGTAGTTCTCATAAAACATAGAGGGGAATAATGTACAACAGCTTATTTGTCATCAGTTGCTGAAACAGTTTTTGAGCTTTACTTCCATGAGGCAGTGCTATACACCCAATGGCAATGGAATGATGTAGAGCAAGTGTTCTTTCAAGAATCAATTACACAATTCCACATGGTGTTTTCTGGTATAAGCATGAGTAGTAATATAAGAGAATTTTTCTACTTGATGGTGCTCTATTTCATTAAAGAATCCCAGTATAGACTTGGATTGCTCAGTGAAATTGCGAGACTTGGAGAGAGGTTCTGTCAGTGTTCCATATCTCCCTAGTGATAGGGTTCCTATATCATGATTGCATAGTAAATCAGCAATTAAGCACAGAAATTTAAGTATGGTCTCACTGATGCAATTGAATTTTTTGTGCTGCACACATTGTAGCTTAGTTAGAAGGCTTAAGTTCCTACTTTTTTATGTGATTCTCTGTGATTCTATCACTTAGCAGAAAACTTGGGGTTTTTGTGTGCCTTGAACTGCTCTGATTTAATTCATTGCTCATCTAATGGAGGACATTAGAGTACAATCTATCTCCTTTTGCTGTTATTGTTATGAAGCAAATATGCTAATATCAGCTTTTTTTATCTTAGTTTTTTTTGTTAGTTTGTTTTTGGCTTTGGTTTTTTTTATGTTAGTTTAAATGGTGGACATATTACCAGAATCTCAGATCAAATCCTCAGGTATTAGTTGAACAAGAATCTGAAAGTTGGATATGCTCCATGTAGAACTACAGACGTATCTATCATCTCTCTCTCTCTCTCTCTCTCTCTCTCTCTCTCTCTCTCTCTCTCTCTATTTATCTCTCTCTCTATCTCTCTATCTTGTCAAGAATTCTATAGTCAAAGATAGATATATAGACCAGCCTTTCCACAGAATTATTTCTGTGTTTTTCAGGCCTTCATGGCAGCCTTTAAGCTCTCTTGGGGGAAATCATAGTCAGGATAAATATCAGGAGAATATTCAGCTTTTGCATGTTAAATATGCCAAACATGGACACCTCAAGGGACTGCAGCCCACTGAACCCTGCACTGGGACACAAATAAGCTATTAAGGAGCAAGGCAGGGAAGCAAAGTGCGAACAAGGAGTTTCTGACACATTCATAAAGTGCCAGTCACAATTCCCTGGCATTTCTGTCATATGGAGTCTGGATTGTTTGAAACAGTGCTGCATGCTCAGTTCTTTGCCTTGGAAAATGCAGCTTTTGTTTATTTTTCTTTTTTTTCTTGCTAAGTGGATTACCCCAGGCCTGACTGAATAAATAAATTAAAAGTTAATGGTTTCATTTTGGATAGAGTCTATAGCTACCTAGGAACAGCTGACTATGTCATTTGAAAGGGATGTTTTTGTGCCCTTCCTAGTTCAGGCAATACCCAACAAGAGGAATGAAGTAAATATTATCTCTCCAGCATTTTGACAATACTTCCAGGAGACTTTTCTTTGGTATCTGCACAAAATAGAGTTGAAAATTTCAGTAAGAGGCCTGGAAGCCAGACATGGCTTTAGAACATTAGAATAGTGGTGAATATGAAAGATTTTAACCTTTTTTTGAAAAAGATAATTTTTTTAAAAAAATTATACCTTTGGTACCTTCACATTACAACAGAAATTTTACATACTGAAGTAAATAAGAACACAGCTCTGAAATATTTTGCAGTGTTTTATTTCAGTGAGAATCATCCAAGTGCAGTAGAATTGGATCATGGAACTTTGCAAAGACAGGATACCAGCAAAGACACTGGCACATTACAAATATGTCTAGAACATGTGACTGTGGAGTTGATTCTTTTATGGTGGTAGGAGATAAACAGAAAGGATGAATTTACAAAGGATTTTTTTAAAGATTGATTAAAACCAATAGCTTTTGAAAGATCTGAATTTCAGAGAGTATTAAATATTTGATTTTGCCTAGCCAGGAGATGAAACATGACTATAACAGGCTATATTTCATTTTTCTCAAAAGTGTGAAATGAGGTGTCAGAAAAATCTCTTTCCAAGTGGTCTCTGGACAGAATATTTGAGCAATGATTACATACAGGGAAGGAAAACTGTAGCCAAGTCAGAAGATGCTGTAGACTGGTCAAGGATGTGTCTAATGACAGGAGAGCTGTGCCAAAATGCAGCCTCTACCCCTAGGGAACAGGGCTGGGTTCTTCAGATGTTCTTTTGCTGCATAGATTCCTTTCATGGTGGTTTTGCATCTAGAGATAGAATGAGCAGTTTCAGACTGAATAGTTGCAAAATGTTTTTGATGTCTCATTTTCCTTTCGATATGAAAAGCTTGGAAATCTTCAAAGAAGTTATTCTCTTTTTTTTTATTTCTTCTTTTTTTTTTTTTTTTTTTTTTCCTATTGTTTGCATTTGTATTTGTCCAAACGCATCCCCAAAGAGAAACCTAGAAAAGAATAATGTGTCTGTGGACATAGCTACAGTCTTCCTTACTCATGAATGAAAGGCTGCTAAAAAGCAGCTTCCAGCCAAGCTTTACCTCTTAAGTTTCTGTGCTCCAGCTCCACAGTGGCACTGAGATCACCTTTTTGTAACACATCATAGCTCTGTGTGTGTACAGACAGCAGAGCCACTGGGGGCCATCAGGATTCAGATAATTTTTTTAACCTTTTTTCTGTGCTGTTGAGAGATGTTTTCCTTTCCTTTTTGTAACACTGTGTTTGATACTGACATTACATGGAATCCCACAGCTGTCTCCTGCGTTTGACAAGTGCTGCCTGCTGCCAGCAAGGGTGGTAGCAAAGGCTGTTGAGACCATATCAAAGGTTGCTTGTATGCTCCCCAAAAAAGAAGAATTTTCAATCTGCTGTTTTCAAACTGATTTTTTAAAGTCCAACTGGTTTAGATACAATATTCCATTTTACCAAGATTGTTCTGTGCTGCTAAAACTAGATCAGAAGTTAGGAACTCGTAGGAAGTGAATACCAAAATCAAGCCAAGAGCAGCAGGGCTGCATTTGTGTGTCAGCTTGGCTGGTTAAGCATCCAGGAGTGTCCAGGGATCCAGCAATCCCCCTTGGGCTGTTTTCAGCCTGGAGCAGAGGTTCAGCTGCCACTGCTGGGATGGCAGGTCTGCCCAGGGGCACAAGCTGAAGCCCCATCCAGACTGTCAGCACTCTTGTATTACACAGATGTTCTGTCTTTGCCTTGAGAAGTGCAATTTGGAGAGGAAGAGAGGGAGGAGTACATTGGGTCTGGTCCTTGTTCAGGTGTTTTAGTCATACTCTGATGTGGGTAACAATAAAACTGGGAGCTAGCTCATTCTGAGAATTTAAGCAAAAAATTGTTAACAAAATTTTTGATCAAGCCAAGGAAGATGCTAAAAATTATGTCAATTTTACTATTGCAATTTGGAATTATTTATTTATTTATTCAGAGTCCTCTTCCATCTCTTAGATAAATTCCATTGATAATGATCTCCTTTTAAAAACTGATACAAGGCATTGATTGATTCTGCATTCATTCATGCCTCCTACAAAATCTTAATGATGCAAGAGCTCTGTTGTCTATTGTATCCTGCTGCCATCCAGGAAGTTTAGTTCTGAAAAAACATGGTGTGGAAAAAGCGTCTTTCATCTTTTTCAATCTCTATGTATTTTTCAATCTTGTGAAATAGGCAATAATGTAAATTTTTTCAGGTAACCGAGATAAATGGAAGTATAGGGGAAGAGCGAACAAAAACAAACGAAAAAAATCCTATTGCCTTAGAAATAGGTTGTCTATAGGTTGTACTAATAAAGTCTGTACTTTATTAATGTTTATATGATTATCCTATAGAAGCCCTTTATCAGATCCCTGTATTTTTTTTTTTATTTCTTACCTAGTCACCTCAAAGCATGCCCGCCTCTTCCTTGCCTGAGTCTGCAAACACACCACTGTTTTAACCATAGACTTCTGAAATTATCTGTATAATTCAATAATAGATACAAGATGATCCTTAAATGGCCCCATCCATTAACAGCAGAAATGGTAGAAGATTCCTGCAGCCCTTTTGTGTGATGTTCTCTAAGGATTTGGCTGCCTGATGGTTGGCAAACTACAAAGTCTATGACAGCTCGTTTTTAGCAAGGCTCTTAGTCTCCCAATAATTTTTGTTCCACTTGGGAAGCCCCTTCACCACCTCTGCCACTTGCCACCCTGGGAGGCTTTGGCTGAGATTGTTCTCCTGTACCAGGCAAAAGAGCAGTTTTCATCTGCAGCTCCATTCTTCTGAGAGTCCACAGGAATGGCTATCGAGCAAAGAAATTAAAAGGGAACAAAGTAGAAAAGCAGGTGGCATTTGATGCAGGGGAAATATTCCTTTCCCAGGCAGTGTCACCAAGCAGCCGGTGAACCTGAGCAATAGCAGCTGTCTGACTTGCTGGTTGTACAAATCCATCTGAGGAGGATTCAAGTAACTGTTCTTTTCTTCACTGTGCAACTTATTGATTTCTCTCCGTGAACTATTTTCACTTGGCCAGGCAAGGAAGATTATGAGGATTATCTTTGGGATATGTGCCATGCAGTCACCTTGATTGTGCTTGAGAGATTACAGGGGTATAAATGTGGTACATCTGGAGGTCAAGACTGAGGCTACAGAGCCTTGAGTGCTTACATCTGTTCCACTACTGATACATTTACTCCTCACCATTCTCTGTTTAATACGTTGCTTATTTCATGTTAACATTTTGCTCAGCCACAGCATTAAAAGATTGCAAAGGTGCAGAATTCTGACATCTAAACAAAAATGGCAAGATTTAAAACCCAAGAATTTTGAGGTTCTCTTTTATTTGCCTTATTGACTGAAGCACCACAGCCCTACCTGTGTATCATTACACTGACCTACAGTTTTTTCACTGTCTGATATTTCTATGTCAGCAGCACATTGTAGACAAAGGAGCACTGGTAGGCTTTACAATCTTTGTCATCTTTTCTAGCCTTCTGTCTTCAGGCTGTAATTGTACTTGTTTGTGTCACAGAGTTTCTCATCACAGAAATATGGTAAAACATACTGAGTATTTCTTGAATATAAAATTCTGTAAAGTATTTGCAGACTTACAGGCTGGTCAGTTACTGAATGTAGATGGTATATGAGTGTATACAATCAAAACAACTCATTTGTCTTCCCTTCCTCCTTTAAACTTTCCTTCTTTTCTGCTCTCCACAACTCCCCCATATCCAAACTCTGTTTAACAGCTTTGGGCTTTCTGAACCAACTTTTGATTAGGTGTTCATTCAGCTTTATGTGATAACAGACTTGACTACATTAAAAGCAGGTAATTATGGAAGGACTGATCATGTTGGTATCTCTGTGTTAAAGAAATAATTCTTAAGCAGTGTTTACAAGAAGAAACATTTGATTGTGTCTGTGTACTTGCTGGAAGAGTTCATGGGGTCCTGTGCTCCAGGTCGTGGCTGAACATGCACAGTTCTTTCAATGCCTTGTGTACACCCTCAGACTCATTTATTTAACAGACCATGGCTGTCCACGTGATACGGAGTTTCTTTGAAGTTGTGCTCATTTTTTGGCCTTCTGTAAATGCCTAATTATTCTGGGTATCACTTTGAAACTGTCTTTGTGTTATTTGTTTGTTAATTATGTTTTCTGCTATTGATGTAGTCCAAACATAGCAGATTACAAGTCCCTGAGAGAGCAGGAGCAACATGACCTGTCACTGGATGCCTAACTTAATCATGCCAAATTTTAATATGAAGTCTTTGATCAGGATTCATTTAACATTTTTTGTAGAAAAGCAATTTTAATTCAACAGATGTTCAGCTGTCCTTAATACTAATTCCATGGGCTGGTTCACTGCCTTGGACCTATGAGTAGTTTCACAGATTTTTAGTGATAAATATACAGATTTCCATGCTTAGTGTGGTGTAACAGGTTCCAGTGAAGAGGGAAAGATGAAGGAAAAATTGTGACAGGAATTTGCAAAATACAAAGGTGCACAAGAAGCACCTTAGTAAGCAAAACATTGAAATCTCATGGGAGCTTAGAGGGTTAAAAAAAAACCAACAAAGTTTTGGACAATGCAGCTTTCAGAACCTCAGAGCTGTCCAAAAGCTTACAACCTAAGAAGAGGAGATAAAGGGAGAATACTGGTATTTGGGAATCACAGTCTAGGCTGATACCAACTGATATTACTGAGCTTTGCAAAAATAAAGAGAGAAAGAGGAAAGTGAAAATGGCAGGAGCATGGATTCTTGTGTCAGCAAGAGAGAGCAGAGCAGGCATGGCAGACTTGAGAGGGCAACAGTAAAATACTGGAGATAAAAGATGCCTATGGAGAAATGAGCATACCACAGGGGAAACAGCGTGGTTTGTCAGACTGGGGGAAGGTTCTGCCTTGGGACATCTGGAAGGACATGGACTCTCATTTCAGCATGGAAGTGAAAGAAAAGCACAAGATTTAAATACTGAATGTATATGAAAATGCAGCCTGGAGATACCAAAAATCTGAATACAGACAATAAAGAATGTTCCAAATGCTGAAGATCTCTAGCAGCAGCAAAGAAGGTCTTTATAAATTAATTTGAATAAAATGTGTGTGAATAGCATAATTTCAGAAAAATAAGATGATCAGTGGCACTTTGAGTAGCTTGCAGAATGCAGAGAGAAAGCAGGAGGTCCAGCAAGAAGGCAATTGCTGTAGTCCAAGCGTGAAATCATAAAAGAATAAATGCTTTCCTTATAGGATCTGCTGAGGTTACAGCCTAAGGTTGTATCTGTGTCCATGAATTAGATAAAGCAGTAAAACATGCATTCCCTCCATCAGGTTGTTTTTTTTCCTCAGACATCCTTTCTAGTTAACTCTTAGGTGACGGACAGTAGGTTCTGTCTATCAATTTTTGCTGATGTCCCTCTCCATGTGCTTCTCACCTCCTGAGCAGTGGGTAGCTGGGATGAAGGAATGGACTTGGCACACTGACAACCCATCCTCTGTATTTGTCAATCAATTTCTTCTTTTTTAATTCACCTTTCAGTACAGGAATAGTACAAGAGTGACATGACAATTTACCTTTGTTTTAAGTAGATTTTCAGCAGTTTGTGTCATCCAGGATTTTGAAAGATAAGCTGAAGAATTGGGCATGAAATTTGCAGTTTTCCACATGTTGTCAATTACTTTTCTCAAAGGATTGTATCAGAAAGCACTGGGCAGGAAATGCTGCACTGGACTGTTGCAAGGTAGTATAACTGAAGGACTGCTTTGTTTCTTAAGGGAACAGAAATCACTGTGAAAGGAAAATAGCTGTAAGGCTGAACAGGAAATCTGAAAGCGTAAATCCTGAAAGGAAGGAACAAAGTTCAAGGCAGTGTAAGGGTAATTTCACTTGCTAAGAGCAGGATTGTTAAGATCTTGCCTCAGCAAAGATGCCAACCAGCAGGCTGAGTGGACAAACATCTTCATTAATAACAGCCACTGCCAAGAAAAAAGTGAACTCTCATTTGCTGAGTAAACTTTTGCATCCAACCCCTCTTTCCCTCACCTGACCCCTACAGTCTGCCCAAAATTAATCTCCCTGTCCTTGTGCACTGCACGTTTTGGCTCTTTTCATGTTGCTTCTGATGGCTCAGCTGCTCCTACCCCACCCTGGATGGGAGTCCCAGAGCTGAGCCTGTCCCCCAGCTCTTCCCTCTGCCACCAAGGGCCACCCGTGCCACCACTGCCACCTCACCACGGAAAGCTTGGAGTGGGAAAGCATTGGGGCATGAAAAGTGCCTTGCCTACAATCCCTGGAGCTTTACATCTGTCTGTGACACTGTATAAGTGTTTTATTGTAAAAATGGAGATTACAGGTTTGCAGAAAGCTGCTAGCTTCATGGAAGATTAAAGGTTTTCTAGAAGTTTTCACATTTTTTTTTCTTTATTCCTTTTCACTTTGCTTCACTCCATCCTTATTATCAGATAGGCATGGGAACTGTCCATGTGGTATAATGTGGGCTACCAAGCCTTATGTTGCCCTGGTTTAAGGCAGGAGATGAAACGTTCTGTACATTAAAGAGACTTTTAAAAGAATCTGTTGTGACCAGTTGCTGTGTTTTGCTGGCATTTCTGCCAGATTCTGCTTTGGAGTAATTTTTTTTTTAAAAAAAAAAAAAAAAAAAAAAAAAATAAAAAAAAAATAGATAACTATTCCTGGAATGCTAAACAAAAATCTACTTTACTGCAAAGTTCAAATGAAAATCGTTGGAAACAGCATTGAGCTGTCATTGATAGGGAACTTCACTTAAGATTCTTTTGTGTTGAGATGTGTCACATATTCAAAAGTACTTTGAATTTAACTAAACTATTAGTATTTAATAATCATAAACCTCCTCTGTTCTTATTAAAAATCTTTTGATTGCATTATTTTACTTCTATACATGTCTTTTTTTAATCTAAGAGCCTCAGTCACTGTGCATATTGCCTACAGTGTGACTGCTGTGCTTTGCTGAGTACTCAGTGTTGCTCTGTTAGACTTCAGTCTTCACTGGATTCTTATGAATTTGGTTTATTTGTCTCTCTGAGTTCTATAAAGCTGTTTTCTTTATTTCTTTCTTTTTTTTCTTTAAGCCAATTCATCCTAAATTCCTATTCTCTTGACATTCTGGTAGCTTTATCTAATATTCACTCCATTGCCTTAATACTTTTTCAGTAATAAGGTGATCAGAACTGAATACAGTATCCCACTTAAGTACCAAGGTCATGAAGAGTTTACAAGGTTTTGGTCTCTGTGACTTGATGTAATTTCTTACATCACCCCACCATCTGCCTTTATGCTTTGTGCCATATCATGTTGCAAACTCATGTCCCTTTATTCTCTTTCCTAAGCTTAGTTCAGTGTTGCTACTTCCTGATTTATTTCTTCTGTTTAATATTAGTGTTAAATTATTTTTCCCAGCTGTGCATTTTTTTTTTGTCTGAGACATTTGGAATGAAGAAGCTGGGAAAACTGAAAGCAAGCTGTAGCAATATCCATGCCTGAAATTCCTGGGTAGTGAATGCAGAATGTCAGCTCTCCTGTTATAACTGTTGAATATTTAATTGGTTCTGTAGACACAGATAGACAAATTAATCTAATCTACTATAATTCACATGAGCTGTGTGCATGATAAGTCCTAATTCTTATATGAGCTACTGTACATTGTATCTGATCCTCTTTCCACTACACTGTTTTTTTACCTAATTTTAATTTCTCTATTACTCCAAGATTATCTTTTAGATTAGCTTTGTTAATGTTGTTTCAGTCTTCCATTGACTCTTATCCAGATCTTGGAAAGTCAGGTTTTTTTCTCTTTCCCTATTTTTTCTTTCAAGAAGTCATTTCCTGCTAGAATTGAAGCACATTCCTGCTATTGCACATTCATGATTTTTTTCTTCACTAAGGTGGTTTGCACTGCAGTCAGAAGGCAGTGAGGAACCACCTTGGAGCAGTGGGATACATCATGCTGATTAGTATTATGTTGGGAGATCATTATTTTTAAACAATGTTTCCCCTCCCCCCCAGTATTAAACTCTCCTGATCAATTTGCTGCTTGTAAAATAGAAATTATGTAAAAAATTAGTCATTATGTATCTTATTTTCCTACAGGATTTACAGATAATCAGTACAGATGAAAACCAGGTGTTTGTGGCTGTACAGGAGTGGTACCAGACAGACACATACAACCTGTACCAGTCTGACCCACAAGGTGTTTACTACTCCATCTTGCTGGAGAATGTCCGGAGCACGAAGCAGCCAGAAGAGAATGTCCTGATAGATATTCTGGAGGTAGATCTTTGTATTTTCCATTATGTGTAGTTGATGTGAAGGTTTTTTGGTTTTGTTTTTTTTTTTATGAGTATAATTTTGAATTAATGTAATTTCACAGTTATATTCAAATAAATTAAAACGTATAGGCTTTTTCTAGCTTATTTGTAGCACATTGTTACTACTCACATGTTTCCCTGTTGCCCTACTTGTTGTGTACTCCAACTAGATTCTTGGGATGGGGTTCTATGGATGTGCAAATCCAAAACTTGCTAATTTTATTTTAAGATATTGAAGAGTGAATCTGGCAGAACAATTTATCATTGAAGTAAGAAGTTATGCGGCTGTCTATGCACATCTTGTTTCTTCTAGGTGACTCAGTGGTGCATTTCCTGACTTAAGAGCAGGACATCTTTTAGCCAGTAGGGTTTTAAGTAGTAATCCTGCAAGTCTTGTGCTAGGTTGTGTCAGCTCTGAAAGGCTAAGAGCCAACAAAATTAGATATTGGGCAGCAAATCCACTTGCTTTCAGTCCGTGTCTTGTGCCAACAGCATTTTCTGTGAGACAAACTCCGCTGTAAACAAATCTATCTTGTATTTTAACATCAGTGCACTTGGCAAAATAAAAGACTATAGTGTTTTGGGAAAGTATCACAGACTGTTATCAATTCCATTTCTGTTTAGGGAATGGAATTTCAATGTAATGAATTTCAATGTAATAAGGTGTACATTTGCTCTGGTTCTTTCTGGCCATTATCAGAACATTAAACTGGCAGAGCTTTGGTCTGACTCAGTTTGTCCCATTACACTGTAATTTGCCTGGTGTTAATTTGAAAAAAAACCCAGAACTTTAAAGATGCACCAGACTTCTTTGGCAAAGGTTTGTAGTAATTCTGGATACAAGGCACACACACTGACAGAGCTGTAAATGGCTGTAATTAGACTCTTCTTGGTGGGGGAAAATTATCGTGTTTTCTTCTTCCTTATCTCCTCTATCTTTCTTTAGCTTTTCTTTCTAAATGACTCTAGTAAAACAAAAAGGTTTCTAATTACCAGTGATTATTTTCTAGACTCTATCTTTTTAGAAATGAGGCTTTCTAATGACTGAAGCTACACATTTTGTGTAGCCACGTTCCCACAGGGTGGTTTATTGACAGCACTAGTTTACAGCATTTTGCTCTTGGTCACCCTTGTGACCAAGCAAAGCTAAAATGCAGTCAGGTGCAATCTTTACTCCTTGAATCACCTGTAACATGTAATTTCAGATAAGTTCAGAGATTCTACCCCTGGCTATCCTTTGGTCTACAAGAATTATTAACTTAATTCAGTTACACTGATTGTTTCATAATTTCCCAATGTTACCAAGGGCACATTAGATAATGCAATCATAGTTTATTGTATGCTGGATCAACTTGTAGGGTTACATTAGAAAGGAAATGTACACATGATAAGGACAATATACATGGAGCCATGCAATTCAATTTTTTAAGCTATTTTTGAAATTGAGTTGCTTTATAGGAGAGTACTGATGGCTTCTAGATAGCTTGAGTGATAAATAGTACTCATTAGTACTCATCTTGTTTACTAGAATGGGATCAAGTGCTTATAATGTGTGGGTTGTTTACTCAGTATAGAATTGCTAATAAATAAAACACATATTGCAGCCTTTGAGGATGGGATATTTTTTTGGTCTAATCTGGGTTTTCTTTTTTGGGCATTTTAATGCAAGTATCCCATCTTGGGAAGAGATACCTTCAGTGAGACAGAGACAGTCTTCAGTGGTAGAAAATTTCTCTTTCTGCCAGTGTGTAATTCTCCTTAAAATTTGTACTGTTCATCTTCGTTATCTTCTGCTGACTCCACTTCATCTTTTACTTGTACATCTGCTATAAATTTTTTAATAGGTGTCTGCCTGTCTGTATTCATTTTCTTTTATAAACTTTATTCTTTTTTGCACTATATTTCTTCTTATGTTGCACAGGTAAAAGGGAATAATTTCCAAATATTTTTTTAAAGATGAAAAAAAAGGAAAAAGATTAAGTATTAAATGACTGCCCAAAAGGAGAATACCCTTGAATTATGTGGCTGTATACAAGGAGCAAGTCCTTGAAATTGTATCAAGTGCTGCCAGTGTGAAGGAGTCGCAAATTTGACACAGGCATTTTTGCAAATGGGCACATTAATGTAATACCTCTGCATTGGTTCCTGCTCTGAATTATGTAGATTAGAGCTACACAAATTGCAGTACAATTCCTTCATGCCTTTTTCCCCCCCAAACAACAAATTGTATACGTTTAAATTTTAGTCACAAACATATGTTATGTAGCAGTAATTTCTACATTTTGGTAATTGCTGCTGATAAATACTGTGGGACCATCTGAACTGTGTTTCTTGCTACCAACTAAACAGAATGTTTCTGGGATGGAATATCAGAAATGTGACAAGGAACTATTAATAAGTAATAGCAGAAAATCTCAGAAAATAATTTTATAAGGTACAAAGTGCTTCTCTAAGAGTACTGGGGAACATTTATCCCCTAAACTGTTTAAGAAAATAGGTACTCTGAGAACTAAGCTCAAAGTTCAAAAAAATCAGTGGAAAGGTGCTTAGAATTTCCTCATGTTCAGCAGCTTATTATCAATGTGAATATTTTCCTTTCTTGATATAAAGGTACTTAACTTGCAATTTGAGATTAGGGAACTAAGTCAAGGAGTAGTATGTACAGAAGAATTTTTGTGCCTTGTCTTGGCATCATGGTCCAATCCAGGAGGTAGATTTGACACACTTAATTTCCAGTATCTACAGAGTCAGGTGTGTATTTGTATTTGCACAGGACAAATTAAATGGAAAATGCTACAGCAGGGGTGGGATGTTTTAAAAATGTTGTTTTTTACACACTGTAATTTTGTGTTAGTTACTGGGTTTTAGGCAAATGCAGCACTCTGAACATGATATTTCTGAACTTGCTCTGAAGATAGATGCCTGAAACCTATTTATTATTTCAAGCAGGGTTTATGCCTTTCATTCAAAATACAACTGCTGTGAAGTGCTGGTCGGTTTTTATCTTTTAAAGCAGCAGTGAGAGAAGTTAACTGAGACACTGGAAAAAGTGTTTTCATAACCTTTCAATGTTTGATAGATTCAAACACTAGTGTCCCATATTCTAGAGAGGAAAAGTTACCCTAGAGCTTAGTTAGATTAGAGATGGGAGTGGGAATGGAGAAAAATTTTAGCCTGACTCCCATTTGATGATTATATGGAATTATTAAATATTCATTAAATGAGGGGGTGGGGAGGGGAAAGAGAGGAGAAACAAAAATAATCATGATGCAGCACTGGTTTTACCATCCACAAATGAAGAGGGAAACCTCAGTTGCAGTCCCTGATCTAATTATTGTTTAAATATTTAATATTGTGTTCACTGGAAGAAAGACATGCACCGAAATTTTACCCTAAGTCTGCCTTCCCACGTAAATATTTGAACTGCCAGGCTTCTCATGGCTGAGCTGTCTTTCTAAGGTAGACAATGTAAAAAATGCCCAAGATTAAAAAACTTTGAAAGTAAAGAAAGCAGGTTCATCATTTCTTCTTTTCCTTTCCTTTTCTCACCTGCACTGCAACATAGTTGACTTTTATGGTATGTTTGACTTGGAGGTGGTTCTGAGCTTTCAGCATCCTGGATAAGTAACCCAACCTCATACACATGGGATTTAAGAAAGAAGGAGCTCATGAGGGAGTAGAGTATTAAATGTTTATAGATTTTTAAAATATAAACTTATTTACATACTTCCAAGTTCTAGGCTGTTACCATAACCAACAGAACATTCTTATTCTCTGTAGATTTGGATCAGTTCCTTCCCATATTTATAAACAGTGAGTATCAAATCTGTAGCCTCCTGGTAGGGATGCCTTCTTTCTACCTTCAATGCAGGCTTCTGCTAAATGAATGTTAAATTGAGCTAATAACTACCAGTTGGAAAAAGAAGGGAACAGTAAATATTTCAAATGAAAAATAAAAGTTCAGAAGTTCATCATGTTATCAGGAGGCAAGTATTTCTGATCATTCAAAAAGCTGGCTGTCTCGTGTGTTTATTTGTAGTGAAAGGTTCAGTTTTGTCAAGAATCAGCACCCAAGGAGATGAGAAAGCTCTACTGTGCTGGGAATGTATATCAGTTTATATGTGTTGTCCATCCAAAAATTCAGGAAGTCTCCTAAATAATGGCAAGGGAAACAAGAGCGTTTTTAAGAAAATCTTCACTTTTAATAGAAGATCTTATCTCATGCCCTTGGGTGGAATATACATTACTATGTTAATAATGTAAATGCTAGGTCTAGAACTAAACGTATTGAGGTATAATTACTGTCAGGTTTCTTCTAAAATTATACCCATTAACTTTTACACTTTGAGTTGTAATAATTTTCTAATACAGGTTGTTTTGAAATAACAGGCCAAGAGAAGAGGGTAATTTTTTTGTTATTTTTTTCTCCAGAGGTTAAACAGGTGAAGGGTGGCTAAACGAGTGGGGAAGCATTTCAGATGCTTGAGAGGGTGATTCAGCCCTCAATGTTTCTTCCACATATCATCTGCCTGTATTTATTTCCTGCAGAGGACAAGAGTGCTTCCCAATTCAGTGTTATTTTAAAGGACATGACACTGTATTGTGTTATTGTAACATATTTGTGTGATATTTCTATAATATGTGCACAGAAATTCAGTGTAAAAGTTAGATGGTTGTTAAAAATTGCTTACATCATTTGTAGAATAGCATTTTAAAGATGTCCATATTTAAAGAAAATGCAGAAGTGAAATTTTAATGGTGAGGCCATGCTATCATAATTTTTATTACGATAAACTATATAAACTATTGTGTTTTGCTATATTAAACGTGTAATTTGGTTAGCCTTCTGACATGGAGAGAACTGCATATCCTTTTTAAATATATTTAGAAATAAAAATTGGTTTGTAATTGCCCTTGCCTTCCCCTTTTCTCCCTTTCCTCTTATCTTTTTTCCTTCCTCATATTTTTTTTCAGGTATCATCCACTTCCCTTTCAGTTTCCAGGAGAAACTACCTGAGATACACAGTTCAGAGCCACAATAGAGCAGCTAATCAGGGATAATCCTTGTTGAAAAAAATGTGTATGTGCTGGATATTAACTTTTCTTCTCTATGCTTCAGGTCAGAGGTGTAAAAGGAGTCTTTTTGGCCAACCAGAAAATTGATGGGAAGGTTACAACTCTGATAACCTACAACAAAGGCCGTGACTGGGATTTTCTAAACCCTCCAGACATCGATATGAATGGCAAACCGACGAACTGCAAACCTGTAAGTGGCTCTTTTTGGTGTATCCTCCCTCTAAAGTGTGTAAGAATTATCTGCATGGTAGGATGTGCAGTAGTTCCAACAGCCTGAGAGTTTTGTGCTGAGTTTACCAGCCAAACTAGCAGGCAAATGCACTTGCATTGCATGAGCTGTGTTCCACAGGCTCTTAGTCCAGTCACTGTGTACAGTGAGTAGTCAAGGCTTTCTGTTGCACTGCATTTCACATTTGAGATTACTTTGACACAAAGAGGACACATTTCTCGTGTGTCAACCACACAACCCAGTTCAGAATAATCATGTCAGTCATTTGTGTCTGGATATATTGAGCAAATCATGATTCAAACAGAGATTGCCAATATTTTTTTTTTTCTTTCTTTTATATCTTTTATCTTTCTTTTATTTTCTTTTATCTTTTCATATTTTTTTTTCATAATAAACCAAGGTAACACTTGGTTCCCTGTTAAAGGGAACTCCTGACAGTTGCTTGAAAATAAATACCATGGTAACTTGCATAAAATATTCCTTTCTTTTTGTAAGATGATATTATTTCTGTTTGTTTAGATGTCCCAAGTGCCCACAGTATTTTGTTATTTGCAAGGCTGTGCTGAAAACCTTGTCTTTTTCTTACTGACTCTCTGCTTCTGGGGACTCAAAGCTCTGCATTGGCTGGCAAAATAAATGCTTGTAGTCCTGCCACTGCCAGAGCTTTACTCCCTCTCCACATGGCAGAAGTGGAGGGCTGGAGCTGCTGGTTCCCTTTTGAAGAGTTCAAGGCTGTGCTGCAAGGTTCCAGCCTGCAGGGTTAGGGTTAGGGTTAGGGTTAGGGTTAGGGTGCAATCTGAGATGAGTGGGACGACTGCAGTGGCAGCAGCTCCCAGGCAGTGCTGGCAGCTGGCTCCTGCTGAAGCTCCTGGTCACATTGCTGTGAACAACATGACCTTTGAGTGCACTGCACAAAGGGCAAGAAACAGTGAGCTTCTTAGCAAGGAGACATGATGTGTCCTAAAGTCATTATGCTATTCTTCATACCACTTTTTATGTGGAACTTCAGCCCAAACAATTGTTTTTAGTCATAATTTTGCCATTTGCCTGGGTCCCAGAAACATGCAGTACTTGTTACTGTTAGTTAAAATTTTAAAGCAATTATTCTGTCAGAAAGGGTGTTAATGCTGACTTCTTTGAGTTTGGAAATCTTTCTGTTGAGACAGTGGCACACTATGCAGACATCACCAGAGATTCTTGTCATAAAGTGAAGACTGATACTTCAGGCTGGAATTTTGCTCCATGGGAAGCAGCCATTCTTTTTCTTTATGAAGACATACATTGCTGAAGCTGCTCCCTGTCTGGGCTTTCATTTATTGTAGGAGCATAACTGATAGTGATTTTTAAAACCTGTTCTCTGCTTCTACCCCCACAAGCCTGATTGTTACCTTCACCTCCATCTCCGGTGGGCAGACAATCCCTATGTGTCAGGCACCGTGCACACCAAGGACACTGCACCAGGGCTCATAATGGGGGCAGGTAAGTGCATGACTTGACTTTTCAAGACCTGAAATGTGGCAGGGGTTCTTTGTGGATCTAGTCTTTGGATTTGTAAGAACACCATGCTACAAATATTGCCAAAATAAGTCTTTCCTGCAGAATGATCCTTTATGGAATCTTTTGATAAAACAATTCAATACAGGTTAATGGAAGGCCTGGAGTTGTGTCTCAGACAGACCTGTATCAGTCACCTGGGCACATCATGCCCTGCTGTGCTGTGCAGCACCTCTTTCCCCATTAGTGTGCTCTGGAAGTGGGGTGGTGGCTGAAGGACATGTCCTGCACTCTTTTTCTCTGGAAGTGATGTGTAAGCCCTCCAGCATCATGAATAACCCAGAAGAACAGATGGAAATAGTGGTCAAGCCTTTGTTCTTTAAGTCTGGATATAGATAATTTGTCTTGTAATTTTTATTAATTCATTTCTGCCTAAAGAGAGATGAATTGGAAGACGCAAATGTATCGCTGTGTTTGGAATAATGTTGGTTGTGGTTTCTCCATTATAGCTTACATATGGAGTCATGTCAGAATGAAATGGAATTTAATAAAGGAAATTCCATTGCAGTGTTGAGCAGTCATCAAGAAAAATATTAACATAAGTCAGTTTTGCTTTGTATCTTTGTAATCCATATATTAATTTTATTTATCTCCTGTTTCTTTGTTTCAAAATTGTCTAAATGTTAATGATTCTAAGAGCTTTCTAAAATTGTATTATTTTATTCTTATGTTATGGATAATGTTTAGATGAAATGCACACATGTAGGCTTCTTTTTTCATAAAAGTGTATCTGTTTTTAATTAATAATGGCTTCTACTTTATATTACACTAGTCTCTGACAAACAGCTTACTAAGTTGAAAGTTCCCTGAGAATGTCAAGGTGAGAATATCTGGGGTTTAAAGAGAGTGTCAACTGCCAGTACTGGTAATCTTCAATATAACTGAAGACTTCAAGTCTTTCTGTTATGTAAAGGGAGTTTAAAGTATTTTACTGGAGACAGACCTACCTGGTGAAATGCTGCTATGTTTTTATTGATACAAATGAGACTAAGATTTTACACAGCGCCCTTGTAGATAGACTCCTAATATGTGTTCAGGTCAAACTTTATGAACTCATATGTTTCAAAAAATATCTTCCATTTCAAATGTTTTCTTTTTTCATAAAAGCACTCAAAATGTAGGTTCTTAATTTTAGCCTCATCATATCATGCTTAAATGCCTTCCAGTAGCAAATTAAGCAGTGAGATTTAATTAGTCAATTATACCTATTTCATTTTTCTTTCTCTTTGCAGTATAATCTGATATGTTGAACAGATATTTGTTGAGATATTAGGTTGTTTTTGTTTGTTTGGGGCTTATAGATGTTTTTTATGTGCACTGTTCTCTGAGACTACGTTAGGGAGGGCCGGTTGTAGAAGACTATTTTTCCCTTAATTCCTTTCTAGAATGGGGTGACATTTTATCACTGTGACATTGTCTTACTCTGCTAGGTAAAGAACTTGTCAACAGCTTTCCTCAATGTGATCAGGATTACATTTGACTTGCTTGTGGGGCAAGCAGTAATGTAATAGGAATGGTAGAAGGCACCCTTGCTCAGTTGCAAGACACCCCACTTTTAGCTACCTAAAAAGTTGGGAGGGGTGGTGTGAAAGTGGGAAAAATTTGCTCAAGAGAATGCAGTGTGTCCTTTTTCTGGTAGAAGAAAAACTTTTGTAGCTGGAAACAGAGCAAAGGGATCTATTTTGGAGCCTTAAAAATACTACAGAGCAACTGCATCCCCTTGCCAAAAGATGACCTGAGTCAGCTCTGATTTTGACTTGCATTTTCATTATTTGGATGCCCAGGTCATCTGGATTCATTGCATGTGTTCAGTCCTATCTGGCAAACCTGATGGCCTTGTAAACTTACACTTTATCAGAAATACTTTACATAGAGTGAGCTTGAATTTCCTTTGGCCTGATCCTTGAAACTGATAATCCTACAGAAATCAACATAAATATTATGTTCTTAGTACATTCAGGAATGAGATTATTTGGGCTGCATCACACACTATTGGAATTTTACTTAGATTTAGGGAGAGCACATCTCCTGGAAATGACTGAAGATGATAAAGATCCGTGAATGTCAGTTGATCAGCATGTCTAGGAATCATCAGTGCCTTGTGCTGTGAAAAAGCAAAATTATTCTCAGGATGAATTAGGTAAATAATTGCCAACAGAGAGAGGGAAATATTAATACACTGGCAAAATACTGTACAGTGACATTACTAATATGACTGTGTACAATTCTGATAATCAATTTTCAGGACCAGTGAGCAGGTGCTAAGAAGGCCTCTTTGGCAGTTGATGGAAATAGAAAATATTTACAAGAAAACCCCCATTAGCTGGAAAACTGAAGAACAATAAAGCATATGATTTATTTTTTCCCCCTGGAAATGTAACCATAGTGCAGAAACAAGTGATGTGAACAAGTGGATAAGAACTGGAAATATGGTTTCTAAGCATAAGAGCCCTATCGATCAAAAATGTTAAAAAAAATAAATAAATAGCCCTAATAAAAAGTGGATTTTGGATTGTTTCTAGGAAGCTTATACAACACAGCTGGTTGTGGTAATGGAAAAGCTATTCTGTGACTTAAGTACAGTTTTGATATGGAAAGTGTTGGAAAAATCAGATATCAGAGACTACTGAATATTCTTTTAATTTTAAAAAGGGAATAATTAAATGGTGAACTGCATTAACACCTAGAAAATTGGGAAAATTTAACATCTTTAATAAGATGTTAAAATTGCATTTTTTTAAAACTCATGTTTACAAATAAAAATCCTACTCTGTCAAACTTGCATAAATAGTTCTCAGGAATGCATATTTTTAGCTTATGTCTATATATATAAATTGTTCAGGCAGAATATTAAATTTTGTAGCTGCATATGAAAGTGGTATTTTAAATAACTGCTTTGCTCTCTTTAAGAAATGCAATAGGATTTTGCATTTACATTTGATTTTTGTGCATTTTAATCTTGGCAACAACTTCTATTTCTCACAGCATCAGCTATGAAATGTGTGTCAATTGATGTGTAAATTTTTACTATAAACTTGCTAAGGACTTTTCTATGAAAAATGTTTAGAGAAGTGTAGCTTTTTCAGGTGCTAGTTTACAATAATTGCCTGCTTAGCTTCCAATCCAGATGGCAAATCAAGCAAGCAGTAAATTCTGCACATTCACACAAATTGAGGAAGTGCTGGAAAAGCTCCGTTTACTTTTTGTCATATCAGGGCCAAATATAATTGCATACATTGTGATGAATTTCTGTCGTTTTTCACAGACATAACATACTAGGATGCCTCTATAAAAAAAGGATAAGGGAACAGGGAGATGATTGACCATTTCCCAGTACATTTTGGAGTAAACATCCTGAAATTCCTTTAAATTTTTGTTACATTCCTCAATTCCTACCCCCTCATCTGAGCACATCTTCAGCTTGCCAGGCAAAACTATGTGTCTGGGAGATTTAAATACAAATTGGTTGTATGTTTGTTCTATACTGTGGCTTCAAGATTGCAAACCATGAAATTTTAACTCATTGTGCATGGCCTGAAGGCATCTTACAACTGTATTAATTACCAGTAATCCAGGCAAGGCACATCTTTCTTTTTGGAGTAGGTGTCTGCCTGTATGCTAAATTTAAGTGACTGGAAAAGATTTTCCATATTAGAAGGATTATCTAAGCATTGCATATGGGGATTATTTCTTCTTACTGTAAACGTGTTCAAAGTCACACATAAAAATATGGGTAAACACGGTGATAATGAACACTTAAAACATGTAAATTGATGGTAAATTTTAAATGAAGTAATCTTCCATATTTTTTGTGACCCAGTAAGAACCTGACAAAATGCCTGACTTTCTTGAGATCTCTATTGTGTTTCTCATAGCTATACCACCTTTCCAGAGAACTTTGCTGGCCACCAGACATAAAACATTGTTTTCTTTCACATCCCTGTGCTCCCAGCTGCTAAAATGTCATGTGCAGAGTTACAGAAAGCTTGGAGAACTATGTTGTACAGTACTTAGTGCCTCTGTATTCTAGATCTTGGAACTGGCACCCTTGCAAGGATGGAACACATGGATTTATGCAGTTATTTAAAATCAGCCTTTACTTGGGACAAGTGAAAAAGCAAAAGAAGATTTCATGTGTCCTAAGCACTGATTGAAAAGGTTTCTAAGAATTCAAATAACGGAAATGAAAAATGGCTCTTCTTAATCAAAAACTGAAAAATGCAGGCCAAAGTGTTTTGTTTTGTTTCCTGAATAGAATCAGTGTCAGAACAAAACAGCAGAGCAAAATTGACTCAGGCTGAGTCCATCTAGCTCAGTATCCTGGCTGTGAAGGTGGCAAGAGCCTTTGGGAGAGTGTTTAAGGACAATTCAGGTGTATATCATGCCCCAGGCTTTGGAGGAAACACACACATGAGAATCATTTAGTTACAAAGAGAATACAAAATATTGTAAGACAAACTTGAGAAATTTCTGTATTACAAACAAAACTTAATGAAACTGGATGGTAAACACTCTGTGTCATGTGTCAGAGGAGTTTCCAGGGCACTCAGATCAGAAGTCATGTTAGAATAGTACCATTTGTAGCTGTGGCTAATAGAGCCTTGGCATGGTTTAAGTCCAGCCAGCAACTAAGCATCACACAGCTCCTTGCTCACTTCCCCTCCAGGAGGATGAGGGAAGGGAATTGGGAGGATAAAAGTGAGGAAACTCACAGATGGAGATAAGAGCAGCTTAATAAAATAATAATGATAAACTGTAACAAAAAGAAAAAGGACAGAGAGAAATGAAACCCAAGACACAGAAGTGATGTAAATGAAAACAGTTGCTCACCTCCAACCGCCTGGTGGCCAGCGTGTCCCTGAGCAATGTCCCTGAACCAACCTCTTCCTCAGTTTATTGCTGAATATGATGACATAGGGCCTGGAATATCCCCAGCTGTGCCCATTTCCAATTCCTTGTGTGTGTGTTGGAATTTCCAATCCCTCCATCTCCTCACTAGTGAAGTGGGGTGAGGAGCAGAAAAGGCCTTGACTCTGTGTAAGCATTGCCCAACAATACTGAAAACATCTTTGTATTGTCATCAACACCCTTTTCAGTACAAGTCCAAAACACAGCCAGGTACCAGGTGCTGTGAAGAAAATTGACTCTGCCACAGCCCAAAACAGCGCATGCCTGCAGCTGCTTACCCATTCCAGTGGCAGTAATTTTTTCAGTATGAACCTGAGTTGCCTTCAGTGTATTAGATTGCATTTACTTCCCCCCCAGACAGATTCTGAGATCTAACACAGACCCACTAAAATGATAGCAAAGTTTCTGTGCTGTAGTGGCACACCTGAGGAGTTACTGCTGATATTTACAGCTGTAATAAGAAGCACAGTTTTTGTTTTGGCCCACCAGGCAAAGTAACACACTGATATTTGGGGGATGTGGTAGAGTCCAAACACTTCAGGACATGGTGGGAATGGTACTTAAACACTGTTGGCTGAGCATAATTGTTTCTTTCTCACCTTCTTGTGTCACTTGATCACTATGTCAGTGATGCTCACGTGTTCTTGGCTGCCACACTTACCACAAACATGTTTCACAATTCAGATATGTCATGGAAAGGTTCAGAATTTCTCAGTTCTACTTTGAGTGCTGCTGTGGCTTTGCAGTTGTTTGTTTGCAGTGTTATTAATGTCAGGATTTTTTACATTTCATTTGATGCCAATTGGAGCTGTTGTGAAGGGGTTTATGAGGTGCCATTACATGCACTGTATTAAGTTAGCTGGTTTATCCAGTAACACAACACTTTGCAAGGTAGCTGGAGCATAAAATTATGCACTTTATTTTAAATCTCAAAAAGAACAAATGCTCCAAATCTTTGAAGTTATTTTTTTTATCAGCATATTGAAAAATACAGTTAAAACAATGTAGCTTTTTAACTAGAGAGCACTCATAGCACTTTTGTCACATATGTTAAATAGAAAGGTTTGCTAATAAAAGTGGGGGAAAGTTCACTTAGATCTTTGAAGGACTTGGTTTTATTCCAGTTCTACTTTTTCAGGCTAACAGCTTTCAGAGTGGCTTTTCTGTGGCTTATAAAACTTATGCATCACTATGTGTTCCTGTGGAAATTTCCTTCTGTCACATCTCGGATCTGGCTGCATGGGTGCTTCCCACTGCACTTTGCAGGAGCCTGCCTGTCTCCCCTGGTGCTGCAGCTTTCCTTCTTTTGCCTGCTTTTTCTTTCTGAATCCACTGACTCTCTTTTTCAGAAAGCCATGGTCTGCAGTACCCACAGAGCAAACTCCAGGCGCACTGAGAAGTTTTATCTTTCCTTACAGACAGGTGTTTTAGTTGTTTTTTGGGGTTTTTTTGTCAGCTTCAAGACTTCATTTTATAAAGTTTACAAAATTATGTCATATAATTGTGTGTTCCAAAAAATCTGGAAGTAATGAAAATGACAGCCTTCATTAATGACACTATTGAACGTTGTGTCAGCAACCAGCAGGTCCTGCATGCACCGCTTCTGGGCTTCCACCCTTGGCCCATTCAAAGGTCAAATATCACTGAAGTCCTTTTTCCCAAAGCAGTGTCCCAGATTCTGTTCCTGTTGGCATCAGTTGTTGTTTAGGGAGAATAAAAAGTCTCTGGAATTATAACTGAGCCCACACACTCTTTTTGCTCTTCTACCAAGACAGTAAAGGTAAAATGAGAGCTAGGAGAAGTAATGTCTGTCTTTTAACAGAGCTGCAATTACAGCACTGTTGCTAATATCATTACTAAATCAGCTGGATAGGAAAGGCTTTTTAATGAAGCACAAGTAGATGCCATTTAGTTTACAGACTAATTTTCCATTAGCAAGGCAATTTACCAGTAAATTCTTTAAAGTGAAGTTCCCTAGCAATGCTCAAAATTAAGACCTTCTCATGCAAGTAGGATTCAGGAAGTGGTGAAAAGAGGTAAACAGAATTTCTTCAGGAGAAAAACTAACATTACATTCATTAAAGTTATCTGTGTAAAGAAGAACGTAGACTGACAGCAGTATGTTAGATTCTAGCAAGAGGATAAATATTTTTGTTTTCAGCTGTCCTATAGAAAACATTCTATGATTAACTGCAGAAGCACAAGAATATACCCATCTGCAGGTGATACAGCAGTGAAAAGAATAACAGAGGAAAGTTAGAATAGAAAAAGAAGTGTATTTTGTATATGCAGTTAATCAAATCTTCCTTCCCTTCCTTCAGCCTCGAGAAAGTGATTTCTCATTCATATCTCCTCCAAGTGATCAGATTAATCTTAAAGCTGTATTGGGGAAGAAAATATAACTGAATTAATGTGTGAAGCTTTACTTTTAAAACTATTTCATTTGGTTATATTCATGGGAGGTGTAAATTAGATATCAGGGAAAATGTTTTTCACCCAGAGGGTGATTGAGCTTTGAACAGGCTCCCCAGGGAAAGGGTCTGAGTTCAAGAAACGTTTGGACATGCTCTCAGGCACATGGTGTGACTTTTGGAGAGTCCTGTGCAGGGCCAGGAATTGGATTCAATGATCTTGCTGGGTCTCTTCCAATTCAACATATTCTATGATTCTATGACCAACTAAATCTGTGCTGAATTATTTGAGAAATGAGAGTGTGCAGTGTGTTGGAAAGATGAAAACCTAAGAAAAGCCCAAGAATGGGAAGTGGAATCTTCTGAACTGTTAGATGCAATTTGGAGGAATTAAATGACTCCTGTAAATTCCCTGATTCAATATAAATATTCCAGTCCTGTCTTAGATATATTTAGGGTTAAATGATGTAGAGTTATCCTGTTAAAGGGTGGAGCACATGCAACTTTGATGTTTTAAATAAGAGAGTGTGTTTTGGGCAGTGGGCCAAAATTGTTGTTCCTCTTGGGAACCTTTCAGAACCGGTAAGAACACTCTGCTTAAACAGATCTGGTTTAGTGGTTAAAAAACAGGTATTTATATAATGCACAAGTGAAATTTCTTAGTGCTATTTGAATCTCAAGTGTTTTCTTTCATCGTCTCTTCCGCTTAAGAGTGTCTGATAATTTTCATCTTATTTCTACTGTGAAAACATGCAAACCATATATTTAAGTCAAAATCCCCAGGAGGATATAATTTAGAAAGAATATTGTGCCATTACTGAGTCACCCCTACAACACTAGACTGCCTGGTGGTTTAATAATTTGCTGTTTGAAATACTGCATGTTAAAAGATAGAGATCTCTGTATTTGGGACTGCATCTGCTATCATCTTCCCCAAGTTTAACACTTCTGTTAACTTTGCAGGAACCTGAATTCTCCTCAGTGCTATTTTTCAAAATATTCAGTAACTTTCTGGTAAATATTTAGGTAAATTAAATAATTCTGCTTTCAGTTCTTTTATATTTACTCTTTTTCAAAAGTCCTATCCCCTCTTTTCATGTTGCATAATCCATCAAATTCTAGTCTAGCTACCATTTCATCAAGTCTTAAAAAGATAAAATATTTAACAGTTTGAGTTCAATATGAGTAACTTTACAGAATATGATTAAGGTTAAGGTTAAAGCTTCTGAGTTTATGGATGTTTCATACTTCCATCTTCAATATACGTTGTTTCATAATAATTTTTCAGCATACAGCAACAGAATAAAAATGTTGGTCTGATTTCTGTGTTTTGGATTAGTATCAAGCCTCACTGTTTCCACCTATGGACAACCTAGCAATGGAAGACTTTGAAATTATACATATGTGTTTTTAAATGATTTTGCTGGTTCTACCAGAAATTAAGTAAGGCTGTTCAACTGTGTTTAGTTCTTGCTCTGACCTGGTAACTCACTCAGACTGGCACCAGGACTAGATCCAATCTCTCTTGCTCATGTGGATGCAACCCTTGTTTTCTCCTCTTTTGTGACAGGTAACCTGGGGTCCCAGCTGGTTGAGTATAAAGAGGAGATGTACATAACATCTGACTGTGGGAACACGTGGCGTCAGGTAGGAAGCATAAATCATCAAAGGAACCTGGAAATAATTGTAATGTACCAAATGTGATGAATTATGTAATGCTTAACCAATCTTTAGATACTCCCTTTTTTGAAGGAGGTGGTATTATTATCTCCAGTTCACTTGGAAACTAAGAGATTAAGGAGGTGATTTTCTAAGACTCAAATTGATCGGGCTGTCAGGTTCTGCTGAAGTTCAAATATTTTGTTCTCTTTAAAGATCTTATAAGTATCTTATGCAAAGAAACATAGTGTCTGTTTAGGTTTTTAATAATTTAAGTAATCTTCCTATGCTAATGATGAAGTGGACTTGGACTAGATCTTGCTGTACAAACGTTCCAAGCTAAAAGACATGGCTTAGGTACAAGGGCAAAAATTCTTCTTCTTCATAGTCTGAAAGCTGTCACTGAAGCATAAACTTCTTCATTGAAACAGACAATAAAAAGAGATTTTAAAAAAAAAAGAAAATAATATTTAAGTGTTTGGCATGATTTAATAAATTCAGGACTACAAATACCAAAGTGTTAAAAATATGATATGATATGTTAAAATGATATTGTAATGCTATTTGAATTCTGTATGGCTTTTTCTTCCACTGAATAGTGTCAGTTAAAGCTTTTTACCTTTCTCATGTATTGTTTCCTAAACTGCTCTGTCTCTCTAGTGGGTTTGCCCTGGGTTGATGCCAGATTCCCATCAATCTCTCTCTGTCAATGCTCTCCTCAGCTGGATGGCAGAGGGAGAGTATAACAAAAAGCTCATGGGTTGAGATAAGGACAGGGAGAAATTGGTCACCAATTACCATCATGGGCCAAACAGACCTGACTTGGGGGATATTTATTTGATTGCCAATTAATAACAGAGTAGGATAGTGAGAAATAAACCCAAATCTTACAGCACCTTCCCTCTATCACTCATTTCATCATGGGCTCAATTTTACTCACTAATTCTCTACCTCCTCACCCTGAGCCACACAGGCGGATGTGGAATGGGGGCTGTGGTCAGTTCAACAGACATAACTCTGCTTCTTTGTCCTCCTCACACTCTTCCCCTGCTCCAGTGTGGGGTCCCTCCTACAGGAGACAGTTTTCAATGAACTTCTCCAACATGAGTCCTTTCCATGGGCTGTAGTTCCCCATGAGCTCTCCAGAGTGGGTGCTCCCCATGGGCTGCAGCCCGTCAGGAAAAGGCTGCTCCAGTGTGGGTTCCCTGTGGGATCATAAGTCCTACCAGCAAACCTGCTCCAACACTGGCTTCCTATGCATCCTGGACCTCCATGGGCTGCAGGGGCACAGCTGCCTCACCATGGGCTGCACTGGGAGCTGCAGGGGAATCTCTGCTCTGGCACTTGGAGCCCCTCCTGCACCTCCTTCTGCACTGACCTGGGTGTCTGCAGGGCTGTTCCTCTCCTATTCCCAGCTCTTCACTCTTGATGTAGTTGCTGTTGTGCACTTCTTAAATTTATAATGCCCAGTCAGCTGTGGCTGATTGACTCGGCTTTGACCGGTGGCGTGTCCATCTTGAAGCTGGCTGGTGTTGGCTGTAGGATGTGAGAAAGCTTCTCTAGAAGTGTCTCAAAGAAGCCACCCCAGCAGACTAACCTGCTACCTAAACCTTGCTGTGCAGACCCAACACACTCAGCATAGTGATATTTTCTTTCTCTATATATGTATATAGCAACAATACACAATATCACATAGATTCTACTTATACTATATTATATATATTTTATATTATATATACCATATGTATTCTACATATATCCAGGATAAAGAAAAACACCCTCAAAGGACCATAGTGCTTTAAAAAAAAAAAATATTTAATTTCAGCTAAAATAGTGTTGTAGTGTTCAGCTGATACCAAATTTTGTTATTTTCTTAGAACCATTAAGTGTGAAAATGTTCTCAGTAGTATTACTGAGCTTGGGGAATTTGAGGTTAAAAGAAAAAAATACAGACAGTTTCTTATATTGCTATGGTAGGGTGCCAGTAGTACTCCACAGAGTACTTTAAAAAGAAATGGGTTATGTTTGTAATTATAATGTCCTTTGATGTTTAAAAGATAAAATTTTATAACAAACTCCTTGAAATCTAGCATACAACAAACAGGTATTTAAATGCAAAAGCCTTCCAGTTTTTACAGTGGATGTTGGCTTGTTTAATGCTTTTTAGAGGGCTCTCATTATTGCTTGTCAGCATTTTCCAAAGTTTTCTTGTTTCTCTGTGTGTGGAAAATAAGAGGAAAAAGGAATGATATCAAATTCATTTTTTTCACTGCTCTTTATTTGTAGAGACACACAGGTAAATGACATGTGTTGCAACTTGACTCTAATCTAATTGTGCTAAAATCAACCACAAACTGATCCCTCATTGTTACAGTCAAAGTGGCAAACAACATTGCTAGCTTTATTTTAATTAAAACTCCTATGAAGCCCTTGAAAGAGCATAGTCAATTCTAATATTTGTGATCAGAATGAAACTGTGCATTATTTTATGTATTTCATGGCCTCACTGGTGGCTCACAATTAAATAATTCTTCCAGAGGACAGCAGCACATTTCCTTTCTCTGCTGGAGTTCTTACAACAAAAGAGAAGGGTTCAGTCAGGTGATACAGGAATTTAGATAATTCAGTAAATTTCAGGTTTTGTGAGCTGGTGAAATCCTGTGCTTTGGCACAACATTTTGTCTGAGTTCAAGTCTCTGCCTTGGAGACTTGGTGGTTGTCATTAATGAGGGCCTGGCACGTTTCTTACAGGCTCACATGATGCTGAGCTGTTTACAGAGAAGAGGAGCAGTCTGTGCTTGTGTATAGAGACAGAGAATGAAGAGAAGCAAACATAAGGGGAAAATGTAGTGCAAGGAATTAATTAAACCTTTCTTGAAATAACAGCTGTATTGGTTCATAGGAATGTGGGGAAGGTCAAAGATCCTATAATTCAACAGTGTGCTCTAAGACTGCCTCAGACCTTCCACAGCTTGCATTTGATGTGGTCATATAAGGGTTCAGGAAGACTTACCTATAAACACAGCCAGAGTTCATAGATAGAAATGAATGCCTAAATAAGAAGTTTTGAAATTAAGTAAATTCTGTTGGCAAATGGAAATGTTTGGGAAGATATCAGCAGGTTGGCGAGGAGGACTGTAAACACAGTCAAGCGATGTGCAGTTCAGATGTCCCAACAACCCACATACATCACACTAGTAATTTTTTGGCTTTCTGTGTTGAACAAGTTGAACATCTGTATTTTGATAACATAGGCCTGTGATAGAGACACAGTATCAAACATGCTTGAGATCCCTGCCCTGCTGCTGCGAAGACCAAAGCAGAGTGGTAAATTATGCCTGTGCAAACCCCTGCAGTCCAGCAGGCTGGGTGGGTGATCATCTGGCATGGGCTGAGCTCTGCAGTGTCTGCATCCCCACTTGTGTCTCTGCCCAGGTGCTGCTTCAGAGCTCCCCTGCTTGGCCAGGTAATGAGAATAAATTTATTCTTGCATTTCATCTGTGGTTTTGTGGTTGTTCCTGCGTCCTGCCTGTGCCAGCTCACACAAAAAGCAAAACCAAGAATTGTTATTATAAATAACCACAATATCACTTGTGCTGGTTCCAGTTGTTCTTCTACCTTTCTGTTGCATGGCTGAGCTGCTTGTTGTTATATCTTGAACCATCACTCTTTGTTTGAGGAAAACTGAAAATTGTGGCTATGTGCTGTACAACATTGCACTGTAAATAGCAGTGCTTTAGGAGCTGACTGGCAAGTAGCTTAAATATCCATGCTGTGAACTGGACTGTAGAAGAAAGGAAACTCAGCTTGACATTATAACGATATATGTGGGCATAGAATCATTAAAGTTAGAAAAGACTTGAGATCACTAAGTCCAACCACTAATTTAAATGCCAAGTGGACCATGAAGATGTAGCCTAAGGTGAACTCATGTTTATTTGAAAGATTTCTCTGTCTATTATACCAGGAAAGCAATATAATAAAATGTGCTAATGAACATGAAATATTAGGATACTCTTTTAAGTGCTAAAGATTACCTTAGGTATACATATGAGTGTTTTTATTTTGTTTTAATACTGATTTCTGTTCACAGTTCTGGTTGCCATTGTTATTTCAACAGCACCTCTTACAACACTGTACTTGAAATACAGCAAAGTATTTATACAGCAAAGAGTAAGAGAAAGGTCTAGCTTTCAAACAAAATGGCATAAATAAAAGAAAAAAGTCAGCAACAATAAAGCTTTCACATTTGATCTGCTACCAGAGTAGCTCTTGCAGCAACAAAATGTTCAGTTAAGCTAATGAGGTTACACAGGAAGCCTTTTGGATGTCTAGGAGCTAAATCTAGATCTCTGGAGCTTTAGTCTGGTGGTTTTTTTTGTTGGAATATTATTTATCTGCGTCAAATCCTTGTGTATCAAAGTAACTTGGAAAACCTTCGGTTAAGTGAGAATACATGTTTTCCTGCAGGCATCTTAGGAAATAGATAGTAACACTTCTAAGAACAACAAAAAAGGATGTCATTCCAGCCTTTCAACCCTGAGAAAGTCCAACCGGCTCATTCTGTGTAGAAAAGCTTCTGTTTCACAGATTTGAATTTAGTAATGGATATCACTTGATGAAAGAAAAAAGTAATCTCAGGATTTTTTTGTTTATTTTTGTAACTTTTGTATTGTGAAGTAAAATTTTATGGCAAATATTTCTCTAGGACCACTTATATATCTCTCACTGATTTCATGGAGCTGTCCCAATTTCTTCCAACAGATATTCTGACCTGAAATAGCTGCTGAAGTTGTTTGGACAGACATAGGAAGAAAAGCATTTAGAGCAGGAGGAAGAGGATAGAATAGAAGCTGACACTGTGATTATAAAGCACAAAATGTGCACAAAAAAATACAGAAATAGGTTATAAAAATCTTCTTCTGTAGTGGCTGGCTACTAGTAAGGATCAGAATAGATTTATTGCCTGCTTTAGTTAGTGGAGAGATGTATATCAGAATTTGTGGCCTGCTGTGAACTCACATATCTCATCTTCTAAGGTCTGAACTTCATCTCTTACACTGGGACCACCTTTGCCTCCATCCTTTGCAAACTGTTTGTCTTGGTTTTATTTCCAGAAAGTAGAGATAAATATTTACTTTTGTGGTAAACAGGCATGAAACTGTTATTTTTTTTCAGTGTATTGAAGATTAAGAATTGTTTTCATGAGGCATTTATACATTTGTTTTTAAAAAGTTTAAAGTGTGTGCAAGAACAGCATGATATAGCAACAGCATTAATATGCCTGAAGTGTGCCCTCTGTGCTTTATAGCATGCTAAAGCAGGGTTATTTAAAGGGTTTGTGAAGACCTACCATGGTGCTTTTCTGGGAAATGCTGATCTGCATGAAGTGCTGCAGATATCAGCTTCCTTTATCTGTGGTGGTGGAGCTATGGGAGACTTGGTGTCCCAGCACATACTGTTGCATTTTTGTTTGAGGGAAAGTTCAAACAAAGTTTAGTGGAGGATCAAAACTCTGCTTGCTTATCTGACTCCAGCTGATCTCATCCCTTTGAAGTGCATCTAAAATTAATGTCTGTCCTTTACTGAATTCTCTTCTAAAATACACAGCTGGGTGAATGAGTAGATCGGACTATAAATGCCTCATATCAGGGTTTTGCCTGCAAACTGGCAGCACTGAAAAACTGATCAGACACTTGAAGCCCTAGGATTCCCATAAAATATGTTCTTACTAGATGAGAAGGAGACTGAATTCTCAACCCAAATTAAATGTTTCCTATTTTTGAAGTAATTGTGAGTGTGCTGTAAGATACTTTCACCCCAGCTCTACTTCAGTCTTGCTGAGAAATCCTCTAAATGTAGCATTTAATTTTGCCAAAAAAAATAAAATAAAAGAAATTAATTTGGAATTGTCAGTAATTTTTCATTTACAAGGCAAAGTAAAGCTAACCTTTATAGTTTTCACCTTTGCTTTGTCAAAACATAAAGGAGACTGCATGTTTGTTTATAAATGCTAAGTTGTATAATTCTCACATATCACTTGGTCTTGTCTTAAATGAGCTTTCACAGGTTGATAATATAAGTAAATCTTGTCTTAAAACAAATTTTAGATGTAAAAAAGGAAGGATATCCTACCTGTGTTTTTATTTTAGCACTGCTGGTAAACTCTGGAAAAGGAATTTAAATAATTTATGAAGTTTTTAATCCTTTGTACCATTAAATCAATATTACATGTACTTGGTTCCAAACTCACAGTAGCCTCCATGGGGCATCACATAATATTTGAACTTAAACTTACTGACACTAGAAATGCAAAAAACATGCTTACATCAATTATTTCATGTTCTGTATGTTCTGGGGAATATGTGAGAAAGTCACAGACAGCAGTACTTTTCCTTTTTTTCTTAGGATTAGACAACAAAGCATTTTATTCTGCAGGATACACAGAATATGGCAAACACCAAAGTAAGGTGATGGGTCACTTGGTGATATATAACAGGAAGGAATGCAGACTGCATACTATGAGAAATATAAGCTTGGGCTAAAATCACTTTAGGCAGTTTAATCTGTGATTTGAACCTGAACATTTTCTGATTCACCTGCTTAACTTTCTTTTCTTTTACAGCTGGGAGAAATATAAGAGTTAACCTGACTTTTATGTCCTTTTCAGTTTGAAGTGTGGACATTATAAAACATAAGTCTCTTAATTCTTGTTTGCTTGTTCATTTGATTTCAGCTGTTTTGTACATTTGCTTAGCTGGCCTTTCTTTGTCTGACTTGTAGGTCTTTGAAGAAGAACACCACATCTTGTACTTGGACCATGGTGGAGTTATTGTGGCTATCAAAGACACCTCTATTCCTCTGAAAATACTCAAGTAATTCTGCAGTCAATTAGAGTAGAGCTGTTGTGTATTCAAGACCTCAGGCAAAGTTCAGAGTTTAAGATAAGCATTTCAATGTGATCATGTATGAAATGCAGGTGGAGTCAGCTTAATTTAGCATTCATTGAGTCAACAAAGTGCAGTTGTATATTTACTTTAAGATTACTTCATGGTGCTGAAGGTACCATGGCATCATGCATTAATCATAATAAAATTTTCTTGCATCAGTGTAGGTATTTTTTCCTTAAAAGACTGTTCTGGAACTCTACAGTAGAAGCCATGTTCAGCAGTATTATTTATCTGCTACTGGCTGGCACCAGCAGTGCATGTCAATGATGTTTAGCCTGTGCTGCATATGAGGCTTAGGTGTGCAGTCAGGAGAGTTCATTGATACTGTAAAGTCTCTGTCATCTCCAAGGGCCATAGGGAGCAGGAGAACAGCCCTGAGTTTCTCTGACAAGAGCAATTTAATGTAGAGTTTAGGAGCCAACAGGCAAAGGACTTATTTGCACTTACGTGTGATGTAATTTGATGTACCAGAATCACAGCTCATCTGAGATATTTACAATTATGCACAATTAACTGCAATGTGCACAGATCCTCTCATATGGTGACAATGCAGCAAATGGCCTTCTCAGCCGGTTTGGCAGGAAAGGTTTGTTGCAAAGCATTTTGTTATAAAATACCAAGTTGTAGACTGCATGATAGTGCAGCAAAACATGGCAGCCTTGTGTAATGGCACACAGAGCTATAATCTTCAGCATAAAAAATACTGTAAGACATCTTTATCACTTGTGAATTGGCTCATTTTTGCAGAATTGTGTTAAGTACATGAATAGGAACTAGGCTCTGTACCTGGTTATCTGGACTGAAAGCCATCCTTAACTTACTGTCTAAAAGACCTGGAGGAAATGTACTGAAAAAAAGAGACTTGGACTTAAAAGTTTTGGATGCACATTTGAAATATGTTTTGAAATATATTCTGCTGATTCATCAGTATCTTTTGCAAATGTTTAAGTAGATGGTAGCATGAAGGCCATAAAGGGCTGTTCTCATACTGGTGCCTGGAGTTAGAGCACCTCCCACATTTTAGCAGCTGGCTTCTCATGTTCCAGTGGCCTCTGCTTAACAGGTCCATAGCTCAGAGACTAGTAGAAAGAATGAAATGTGAATTAACTTGCTTTTGAATCTTCAAGGTAGCAAGATTGTTTGTTGACAGAGCTCAGTTTTTAATCCCGGAATTTGATTGCTGTGGAATATTTATTACACCTCTTTATAAAGATGTGAATCCCTGGATAAGTTGCTGAGATGAAGATCACATTAATATCATATGCTGTCTAGGCATACTGTATTTTGTGATTGAAAATCCTAAGCTTTAGTATAGAGGAGATTTTTTTAAAGTGCATTCTGCTTTGTATCCCAGTAGTTGTAAATGAAAACCTTTTCTGCTTTTTTACAGGTTCAGCATAGATGAAGGCCAGACCTGGAGCACCCATAATTTTACCAGCACTTCTGTCTTTGTGGATGGATTACTTAGTGAACCTGGAGATGAGACACTGGTTATGACGTAAGGTTTTGGTTTCACCTCTGTTTTCAGGGCTCTCTCTGTTATGCATTTCCATAGATTTTCAACTGTGCATGTTTGAGATGGTCCTTGAGTCAGTGGCTTTTTCTTCTCACAGTCACACAGACACACTGATGTGTGAACCTCCCCGGTATGTAACTGGTCTTTGGAATCATCTGACTGCAGTATTTCAGATTTTAAAGAAGTATTAGTGCTCAAATGAAATATTGCAAAGTTACTACTGAGGAGAGTGGAATAATAGGACTTGTTTACAAATCTGAAAGATGCAGGGAGAAAAATAACTATTTCCTCGTGGTGTTTTTTTTGTTTTCTACAGATTTTTAGTCAGACATCAAAAATGTTAAACATCAATTGTCTTCACAGTGTAAATAACTATAGTGTTGTCTTAGTAAATAGCACTTCAGTACTTGGTGTAACCAAGCACTGGGCTGTCAAATATTTGTTCTTATTCTGTGCAGTGACAGAGGCAGATACTGTGAATAGAGTTAAAAATAACCAAATTCTGCAACTCAGAATTGTTTATCCTGTTTATCTGTCTTTTTCCAAAGGATCAGGGACATCTGGATCTGAGCTGCACATTTTGCTCAATATCAAGGATAAATGACAGTGTTTTATAAGTGTCTGAGAGGAAAAAACACCTCTCCAGTTAGGGAGAAACAGAGTCAGGCAGCACATGCTGCCTGCAGCCAGAAAGGGGAATGTACTCAGGGCAATGCACACAGGTTGTTGTGTGTCTCCTATTGCAACAGTTTGTGTGATGCTTTATACTGGAGCTCAGTGTGCCAGTGACAAGCTTTTTCTCCCAGGAGTTACAAATAGAGCTGCTTTGACATGTACCGGTAGCATTTTCCCTAGGGAAAAATAGATTAATAGGCCAGTGTATAAAAAGGACCTTCACCAAAACAGAAATCCCACCTAAAATACTTCAAAGTGTTGTGCTGAGTTCATAGCACTGCACTGCTCAGAGAGGATTTGGTCTGTTGGTTATTTCTCTCTTTCTCCACTACCCCATTTACCCTCCATTGGATATGACCTGAGAACAGTATTATCCCATCATCTTCCCCTTCTCTCAAACACAGGTTTATTTATGATATAGTATACGCCACATGGAGACACTTATGCCTCTGAATGAGGGATTTCCATTGATTTTAGTAAAAGTAGATGGATCAAAAGCTTATTCCAAATTGTATGTACTGGCAGATAGAATGATGTGTGGTGACTCTGTGCTCCAGGCTTGGTTTTATTTTCTTATTAAGTATCATTAAAAACGGTGAAGATGTGCATAAATATCTGGCTGAATGGTCTAAAGAGCTCTTCTAAAAAATTATGCCTTTCTAAAATCATCTATCTAAAATGCATAGAGCTGCAGCTATGTTTGGTACATGAGCCAAAATTGACAAGAAAAACATCACGTGGCTTGCAGATTTCTAAAGGCATAGCAAGAGTCTGACTCCAGAGTGTAATGACAGGCTTGTAGATTCTCACTTTTTAGCTGGTTTTACTGAGCATGAAGGGCATCAAACATCTAATAGCACAGACTGCCCCTGAAGACACATGAAAATTTCCTATTGGATTCTAAAGACAATGAGAAAAATAAGGCTGCAGTGTGTGTTTCATTGTTGCTATTGCATCAACTTCCTCGTCTCTCCAGCTGCTTTTGACTGTGTTTTACCTTCAGGGTGATGTTGTCAGCCCAGTGGTGCTCTGTCTGACTTTATGTCAAGACCTTTTGTTGTTCTGTCTGGCTTAGTTCATTTCTTATGAAAACTTATTCTTGTCCTAAGTTATTGTGCTTGACTTAATCTACAGTGATTTGTTGCTTTTGAGAAATACACATTCCCTGGAAAAAAAAAGACAGAAATCAACTATGCCATCTTTTCATTTTGTTAGATAGAATTTTTTTCCAAGTAGAACATGGTAAGATGAACTTGCAAATGGTAATGGAAATAAATTACTAGTGTCTTTCACCTTGAGGAATCCCCAGATCTATTGCCAAGGACCTAGTCTGACATTTTTTACTAGTACAGGAATTTGATTTTCTTCCTTTGGTATGGAATGTGCTTGAATAAAGACTTTGAATAAAGAGAGCATAAATTAGGAGAGATAGCATAATTCTGAAGTGGGAAGGCAATAACTGAAAAAATGCGCAGCAAAATTAAGGAACAGACAGTATTTCATTTAAAGCTTCTAGAATAAACTCACAAAAGAGTCAAAGAATATTTTACATGTACTGAAACTGTCTTTTATCCTGATTCCACTGAAGTCAGTCTGTGTGTAAGAGACTTCTCATTCTCCAGCATGGTGTCTGGGATATTGACCGGACTTGTAAGTGGCTTGCATTTGAATTCCAGTTCTGTCCTAATTTATCCACAATCAGAGAATCATAAAATCACAGAATGGTTTGTGTTGGAAGGGACCATCAAGACTTTTTAGTTCCACCCCTCCTGTCATGGCCAAGGACACCTACTAGAACAAGTTGCTCAAAGCCCCATCCAGCCCGGCCTTGAGCACTTCCAAGGATGGAGTAACCACAGCTTCTCTGGACATGGTCCAATGCCTCCACATCCTTCTTATGCTGGGGACCCCAGATCTGGATGCAGCACTATGGGTGGGGCCTCATGAACGTGGACAGAGTGGCACAATCCCCTCCTTTGCCCTGCTGCCCACAGTGCTTTGGATGCAGCCCAGGACAAATTTGGCTTTCTGGGCTGTGAGCACATGTTGCTGGCTCATGTTTAACTTCTTGTCAACCAACACCCCCTACTCCTTCTCATCAGGGCTGTTTTTAACTCATTCTTCCACACAGCCTGTATTTGTGCTGGGATTTGTGCTTGACCTAAACCAGGTGCAGGACCTTGGCCTTGTTGAGCTTCATGAGGTTCACATGGGCCCACCTCTCAAGCTTTCAGGGTTCCTCTGGATGGCATCCCTTTCCTTCAGTAGACTGTACCACAGTTTGGTGTCATTGGAAGATTTTCTGAGGGAGCACTTGATCCCACTTTCCATGTTTTGGTAAAGGTGTTAAACGGCACTAGTCCCAATACTGTCCCCTAAGGACTGTCACTCATGTCTGTTTTGCATTCCAAAATGAAGTGGTTTAGGAAGCTTTACTGAAGAAGCAGGAAAAGGTGAACCTGGTTGCCTCAAGTCGTCACTTCAGAAAGTTTTGTGTTTTCTCCAAAGCAGAGAGGAAAGCCAAATGTTCACTTGTCAAAAGTTTTCATAAAACTCAGTTGTCATCTGTCAGTCAACATTAATCTAAATCACTCATTGAAATCCCCTGCAGTATTCAAGATGTGTACATACAAATGCCAAGGAAAATATATTTTATTCCATTGTCCTCTGCAAAAAAAAACTAGTTAAGATGTTTAGGAGTTTTAGTGGTAAAGTATTCAAAAACTTTAGGAAACTCATTCTGTTTTCAGTCTGTCTGTATTTCCATTTCTAAAGAGACCTAGTTAGGAGTTTAGGAAAGATAAGCACTAAAGTATTCATAAATTTTAGAAAATCTGATCTGTGTAAAAATCAACTTCTAAATGAGGAGCTCAAATCCAGTATTTATTGCTAAATGAATAAGTAAGGTTTGCTGAGAACTTTTCTCAACCAATATATTTTCATCAAAATAGTGAGTGGACTAGTAGGTTTTATTCTGTTCTAAAATTGTAACAACTAAAGTTACTGCAACCCAGTGTTATACTGAACAATATTTTATAGTTGGGAAAAATTGCTTGCTAATACTGGATTGAGTAATGGCCTAACTCAGTGCAAAAGGGAGAATTTTTGTGTGTCTGAAATATTGATGTTCCTCTTCAGAGGAAATAGTTAATGTAATGAAAGCTTCAAACCTGTTGAAATTGCTTCTAAATCACATCTCAGCTTCTGGGAGTGTTTCCTAAACCAGATTATTTATATTGCAGTGTAATCCCAGTAGGCACAATAATCATGGTACCACAGACCACAGCCCCTTCTAAAAGGCCAGTAAGAGGTTACCTAGGAAAACTGATTTTCTTTATGTCAGGTAGAACCAAAATCTTCCTTGCAGGTAATTGTATTTTTTCCAGAGGGTTATTCTTTTGTAATGTCTCATAGAATAACAACTTTGGAAGCTGCTGGGAACTTTATGATATCTCTGAACTGCAGAACTCCTGTATACATGTTTTGCTGTCTTGAATGCCCATTGTTGCATTCTTTTTTGGTTCCCGGGCAATCATGGAAATAAGAAGATGTTCTAATTTAAACTTAAAACCAGGTGAATATTAACAGGTGTTAGATATTAGGTAGAGCCGTCTGGATTTTTGTAACTGTTGATTCTGCTAGGAATGTCAACCTCACCCTTAACAACATCAGTAACAGTCAACATCACATGTACTTTTAGAGCTTATTGTCACATATGGCAGCACACTCCTTTTCCTATTCTCTGTGAGTATCTTTTTAGGTGGAAGGATTTCTCTCTGTTTTGAATTCTTCTCTACTGAGTTTTTCGTATTGCAACATGTATAAAAGGTAGATAAAAGGTACACAAAGCCTCATTATATAGGAGAATATCTGATTTCTGAAGGCAAATTCTAGGTTTTCTTTTCAGCTAGTTAATGTCTTTTATGAGAATCATTGCTCAGTTGTGAAATGGTTGTTCTGCTCTCTGAATGACTAGGAACATATTTGAGTAGGTAGAGGAAACTTGGTGAAAAAAAGCATTGGAAAAGCAAACTGTTTCTTCTATTCCAATCTAATTTAGGTATCAGCTAATGCAGATGTACAGATCTCTGTTTAGTAGTAAGTCTAATGCTTTTGCTGTCATCTCTGTGGACACAGATGTTAGCAGAGCAAGTCAAAGCATTGCAGTGTCACTGCCAACTTGTGCCCTTGGAGTCAAGACCTGCTACTGCCCCAGTTTCTCCCTATGCTCAAAAGAAGTTTAGTGGGTAAAGTTTGTTTTTTTAAAACAAACTTTTTATTTTCCTTATAGTTTTGTACTGTAGTCA